TCGGTCGTTGGGACACACAGCTGAGATACTAGGAAAAATTTTTTTTTTTCCTACGTTCCTCACAGTAATGAGCAATGTGTCGAGACCGCAAGAAGGACAGAGAAGAGCAGAAATCCGACCAGCTGACAATGGGACGAGGAGAAAACGGTCACGGTTGGCCGCGCTTCGCTGACCGGGCGTGGGGGTTACGAGTTCGTTTTTATTTACACCTGGCGCGTACACCGGGTACACCTTCCGCTGGCGCCCACGCGACGACGCTTCCAATGTGACTGGAACTTGCCTGGGTATGTTTGGATCCTAATGCGTCTTACTTCGGAATGTATTTTTTCAACAAATTTATTTGTGAAATGGCTTTCTTTTACTTTTCTATTAATATTAACAATTGCGAACTTGAACTAGTTATTGCAAGCTATTGGATTGGGTGAAATTCCACTTCGATCGAAATTACTTAATCATCGTCTTCCGAGGGTTGAAACCCCCTATGATATAGGGGAAGCCTAGGTTGGACCAATGGTGTGTAACTTGTCATGTGTAAGCAATTTGGGCCTTACGATAGACAATATGTTTGTATGTAGGATTAACAATTAGGCAAAATTTTCCGTTTACTAAATTCACCATGGACCAAGTTCATATGGGGGTCCTCCAACATATTTGTTACACCCTGTATAAGCTGCACATATTGTCCATCATATGCTCCAAATTGCTTACACATTACAAATAACAATACTGGTCCGAATTCGTCATTTCATCGATCAGATCGTTCGATCCACAATACATTTACGATTCTGTTCGTATTTAAGAATATCTGGAACGCTAGACTTCTAGAAACGTTTGCGATTGGCCCGTAAGTAACCTGAAGATATTTCGTTGGCTAAGGTATATACATATATACCGATAATCCAACAAGAGGCGCGAAACCTCTGGCATAGGGCGGCCACGAAATCGATTAGACGAGAGGAGACCCCCCTTCCCCCTGTTCACCTGCCCCTTTTTGATTCGACACCACCTAGGGGGGCTAGGCAAACTTTCAACCGAGTTACGGCCAGCTATATTGCAGCCGGTTACAACCGACTTGGAGTATAAATAGGCGGCGTCAGTCGGCCGAATCCAGGAAAAGTTCGCGGTGGCCGGGCCAGCCGACTTGCGACGTCGTGCTCACCTCCTATCCACCTGCTACCCCCTATCGAAACCTCCTACTTTCCATACTTGACCCCCAATTCGACGGATCATGCCATTTACTATACGAGAGGTCGAAAGTCAAAAGTGACCGATCACATTTCAATGTTCCTGTATTTAGAATTTATCTACAGAGTGCTATTTAATAGGTTTCGTGGATCCAACAGCCAAGGTATTACAGTAAATTATCGATGAATGTTCGAAGGCTCCTCCGCACTGACAATAGTCTCTGAACACTCGGTGCTGAAGAGCCTTGGAACCCTCATCGATGATTTACTGTAAATCAATATTTGTAATATATAATACAATATTGCACAATACATTGTAATGTAAAATGTATAATAAATTAAGGGTTGACTAGAATACCCAAGTATAGCAAGGACTCTTCGATTAGTTTAACGATAAAAATCTATACCTATAAAATAATTTTTCTACTACAAATATTTGCTTGAATTTAAACAGAATACCGTAACAATTTCTTAGACCTTGATCTAAATTAACAAACTTCTCATCTATAAACACTGAAATTTAGAAGTCTGTTAATAGACCACCGGGGATAAAAGGATTAATATGTACCGTATTTACCGTTGAGTTCCACGTGAACACTGCGGTATCGTACTCTGAACTTCCGGAAGATTAACGAGGAATGTTAACGACGGTGGTTCCACCGAATTTTTCGAAGTGCTGGTCGAGTGCGTATGGTGCTGCTCGACCACTCGAGTGCACTGTATTCATCGTTCCCAACCTATGAAGGGACTTCTTTGTTCGGCCGTGGAAAGACCGCGAGAACGTCTCTTGTGATCGTCCGAAAGACTCCGATCCGCCGTTAGCTACCGAACTACCCCTGCGATCTGCTGCTATCGTGTACCACGACGATCGATTTATATTAAACGCGGTTGCTGTTCCTCCGCGTTAATCGAGCGCAACCTGGTTCAGATCGAATCTGTGCCGTGGCGAACAAGGACCAACCGAAAGGACAACAGGCCTGCTCGAATTTAAACGGGATTCAAATAGAACGAAATCGATAGCCTTATAAATTGTTATTTAGCCAAATGGTCCGTAACCTCCGATCCGAAACGTTTCCTCAAGTTCGCAAATTCTTACAGCTGTACAAAAATAAACGAAGTTAAAATTGGAAAAATCGATGATACCACCAAGCCACCCGACGAGATCCCCCGATTTCAATATCGATCGACAGTTTGTTCTAGGGGGACACGTTATCGTGGAATCGATGCGTGTCGAAGAGACACGTGAAAACGGCGAACCACCAGGGAAACTCCATGGTCGGTTCACGAAGCACCCATCGGGACGAACTAAACTCTGCTAAACCCTCTTCGTAGCGACACTACGCGACCGGCACGCATGCAATATGCATAAGCCGTGCCAGTTCGCGAAGCGGTAGCCATGCATAGCCTTAGGATAAAATAATCGTTCGCGAGAACCTACGGGTAAATAGAAACTGTACAACCTTTCTTTTTTCCCCCCTTGGAATTTCGTAACGGTCAAAAGATCAGGCGCCCCCCCGGTGATCGAGGGTCTGCTAATCGATTCACGGTCGTGGAAGGGAAATATTTGTTCTTTCCGATTGGAAAACGCGACACCGGGCGACCTTGATGGCTCGTTTCGCCACCGACCGATCGTATAATCGCGTAAACAGGCTTTCCTTTAGCGAACAAGGCTCTTTCCGGTCGCGACGAACCCGCTCTGGATGCGCCTTCCGTTTCCCGGAAGCGGCCGTCGAGATTAACGTTCGCGAGCGAGACCGTACAATCGGTGCCCCTCGCGCCAATCAATGAAACGGGTGTTACAACGTGGACAGCAGCTTGTGTAACCTCCTCCAACGGATAAATAATTTATAGATGAATCACTATCTCTGTCCGAAAAGTCTCTCCACCGGTTTTCTTTTTTCCAATACGACCTCGTGCCACGGCACGCGAGTACAGTCACCTATGATGAAACGATAATGTAACCAGATTGCACCAATTCACTGACAACGACCGTTTTGATACTATACGAGTAGGCACAAGAAGGATTCTTCAAACAAGCGAACGATGATAAACGAGCCGCCGTAAAGTTTCGGGGAACCGAAACGGAGCACATTCGTGATTCGGAGAATCGGGTCAGGTGACAGGAAACTCATTTGATTCGTGGGAAATGTCCTTTCGACAATTCGAATTATTATGCATAGAGCTGATTCGAAAAGTTACATTTATCCCGATTATTAATCGATTCTATCTAAGGAAATTGTAACCCCAATGCATTTCTATCAATTCCCACGCAACTTATGCGTCATTATAAACACCGTGTTGTAATATTTAACACTAGGTTCACGGACATTTCTTATACACCTATCTCTTAAAAAACAACTTATCTTATTTAGTACTAAATTTATGATCTCGTAAAATTAATGCGAATCCATAGGTATACCACATAGAGAATTTCGAGATTAGAAGGCATTCGAAATGCGTCAAAATAACGCGTCCCGTAAACCTAGTGTTAATAAACCAGTCGAGAGGAAGAGTCAGCATTCACGATCAACTCTGTACGCGATGGCATGCAAATTGTACCATACAATATTCAACGATGCATCGACTCACCTTTGGCCGTCAGTTACGCGTTCACCGATCTCATGTTCTCCGGAAGTGTTCTCAGGCACCGACACTATCACCCGCGGTCAAGTTCATTCCGTTTTGTTCGCGATGAACCGATCCCTCGTCGTCCTCTTCTCTCTGTAGAGATCCGCTCGAAGCGTCACATTTTGGATCGGCCGCGCGTTTTCCACTCCGTGCAAACACAACGTGTACAACGCCGCGTGCTTATCATGCATCGACACTCCCGCGCTCGACGACGCGCGCACTACGAATGATGGCTAGCACGAGATACCGCCGAGTTCCACGCCGCTCGGTGTACACAGACCAACCGGCGACCAATCGCCAGCCGGTTGGCCGTCGTCCTCCAATCAGACCATTTTACCGACCGTGACTCCCCGAGGTATCGATGTACCGACTGCTGATACGCGCCCGATTTGAATCTCGACGGCGCGTTTTTCGGTCGGGACCGTGTTTCGATGCCTGGAAAACCGAGTAACGTTGAACAGAAACGGCATAACATCTGTGATTGATTAAATTTCATGCGTACAAGTAATTGTAATTTGTACCTGGTTTTTGGAACTCTAACCGTTGCATCGTCGAGCTTCGAAACGTGTACAATTGCGATATGCAATAGCATTTTTGGACCTGAAAATTATAATTATATATAAAACGTTATTGGTGAAAGTAATCGATTGACTATCGGCGAATTTACGGACAAGTGCCCTGATAACCAGTTGTGTACAAGTTTTGAGTAAATTGCCAAGAATAAATGACAACTAAGTTATTGTCTAAAAAACCATAGCCATATGTTTCCGCACTTGACTTGGGTTTTGCAGGCAACGTCAGTTGACAAAATGGTAAAGGAAATTGGTAACAAGTCTTGCAACGTGACCTATGTCAAATTGAGGGCAAAACTGGAACAAAGTTTGCGCAAGCCAATTTATATGTTGCTGCCCATTTGCTGCCTATGTTATAGCATAAAACTTATAACCATAAGTTTATAATAGGCATTGGACATAATTTGGCTTTGCAGGTTTGGCTGACTAGATGAGAACTTATGTAATGAGAGCGTAAACGTTGGAGATTAATCACAAAGAGCGCCTCAAGGCCCGGATAAAACAAATTGGAATAGGAAGGAAGACGGGTTGTCCCGCTGCCGTCGGTAGATATATACGATAAACGAAATGGAGCTATATAAGGTGGCGCGTTGGCATGCACTCCGTGGGTAGAATTATGGTGCAAGCTGTGGGCCGCGCGTTCGATGTGCCCGTGTTGACCGCACTCCTGACGCTGCTGTTAGTCGATCAAGTAAGAACGACGACGTGGAGAACTCTCGACGTCTAATGATGCGGCCGTCGTGTGTACCGCTGCAGCATGCTATAGCCCCTGTAGAATGTTAGCGCATATCTCGTGTACCAGTGTCTCCTTGTTCTATTCTGCCCCAACCCGAAGTCGATCAATACGTCGGTTTTACGCACGGTTCGCCCGTGTGTAAAGAATGAACCCTTGTTCGCTGTGTTTCTCGTTCATGCGTAAGTCTTTCCATCATGTCCACCTTTTTTTTTTTCTCTCACACAACGCGACTCTCGTCGCATCTATCATTCATTTCCCGGAAGTTCATTGTACGTGAGAAATTCGTCCTTCCATGGTGCGCCCTGTCTCGCGGCGAAAACAATCCTGTCTCCTCGGACGACCGATCCTCGATGGTACACAGATGTATCGATGGATATTTTCTGCTTGAAGTACCGTGACAATTGTCGTTCAATGTTTTCCAATATTCACACGTTAGTCTCGGCTGCTGTCCTCCCTCGATTAGGCTCTCCTGTGGAAAACGATGACGTTCGAATCGCATGTACTGTAACACTTAGTTTCTAATAGACCAGACTTGAGATTCATTTAAATGTATTTCTGTCGTGATTGCCGGCTACGTGTAATTTCTGTTTTCTTCGTTTTTAAGGTTTCTTCTAGGCTGTGCAATGGGGGGCATGTGTAAGTTGTTAACTACTTATTGTGTGTGTATAGGTTTTGGAACATGTCAAGTAATCGTATCATGATTTCTAGCTGCTCTCCTCCAAAAGACTGCTGTTCGTTTGGCTGTTGTTACGGTGTATTCCAATTGCACTCTGCATCAGACATGTTTAATTTCTTGATTTGGACTTATTGGTACTTATGGTCGGTGCTTCAACTCACTATGTTTTGGGTGTATTCTGACAGCGACAATTTACCCCTTGCCTCATTCTTTTCAGGGCAGCAGTATTTATAGGATTGGCTATAGCAGCAGCATGTGGTTGCTGGCTATGGAGACGCCATCGGTCAGTCATGGTGGAGGATTGTGCTTCTTCTGACAGGGCTTCCACGGGTCCTTGGTATCCATCTCCGCATTACAGTCACTGTAGTTCCTTTGTTCAAGCATTGCCACCTCCATACAATGAGGTATGTACCACACATTTGTAAATCTTGTAGAAATTGAAAGTGTTATTATTAATATACCTGAATACTTTAGGTTACAGCCAAACCAGATCTGTATCCATTGGTAATTGGATACGATGAAGGAACTGGCAAAGGAACTTCAGGGTTTGTAATGCGCTACTTCAGATCGCTCTCACAAGCCAGCACATTGGACTCGTTGAGCTCCAGCTTCATGTGTAACGTGGTCAATGAAGTGAACACCATAATTCCACCACCATATTCTTCTAACAACAGCGCCGACGAGCTGTCTGCAGTGGGATGCGCGAGAATGGAAAACATAGATGTTGGCTCTGTTGTTTCGTTGGCTAATCATAGGACAACGTCTGACATATCGAGTTTAGCTGCTCAATCTCCGTGTTCACCGCCACGGGCTACTAGTCCAACGATAGAGGTAACTAATTTTTGCCGGCAATATTGTCAATTCAAATATCAGTATAGGATAACAACAATAGATGCGTACATTAAAAAATGATTTTGTTTCGTAGTTACGCGAACTTTTAGATAAAATTCAGCAGCTGCCACAGCTACCCAGCGGGCATGGTACCGTTTTGCCTTGTTATCAGAATCGACCTCAAGTTTTATGTACGACGAACGGAAACGGCTCTACTCAACGGCCTCTAAGTCCAGGTGATGTTGTCGGAACGTACAAAGACAGAAGGACGCGAGGAAAAATGTACATGCCGTTAGGACTTCCAAGTTCAAGGAACAAAACGAAACGATGGTTGTCGCGTTCGGCACCGACGACGCCATCGGGCACGATACCGATGTCCTTTTTGTCGGTGCAAAGCAGACGACCATCTGAAACTGATAACAATAATCAGCAGGTGGTCCCGTTGCTCTCGGAACAGGACGAAATTGAGAACAATAACGTGGATCAGTTGAACGGCATCCCGTTGCTGTCCGAGCAAGATGAAGATCCGCAAGAAACATGACGAATCGTCTGAGTATATTAAAGAAAAAAAAAACCAGAAAAAAAAACATGATTAAATGTTAAGGATCCGAATCCAAATGTCGTTGCCCCGAGTAATCTGTATATTTTTTAACTCGTCTCGCGGTTTCAAGCGAAACACCGTGTATAAAGTTTTGGCAAATTAATTTCGTCCAAGAGAAACAGATACCGCCTCCGCTCCTAGAAAAGAGAAAAACGATTCGACGCTGCGATTTCGTTTTTCGGTGTATCGTCAGCCAGCGCCATTAGTGTACACATTCTTTTTTCTAGCGAGTCGTTTTGAAACCGAACCGGATAGCGATTAATGATAATGGCGTACTTATTAAGCTCTATGGAATAGCTTGCAGTTAACTTACAGACAAACTCACAAAACGAACACAACAAACACCATCCCAGACGACACTTTTACGAAGCGTTATGATGATAGATTATACGTAGGAACAATGTTCGAGCCCAGCTTGTTGTTGAGATCTCGATCGAAACGTGTATTTGATACAACGAATTTCATTTCTTTCGGCGTAATTTAAACGAAAACGATACGTCATACGTTAAGAAGAGGGAAAAATAGTTACCTTAGTTGTTGCGTCGATGAGTTTTGATCGTACACAAGTAAAATACAATGTCCATCCAAAAAGCAGCCAGCCAGAAATGAAGTTAAGGACAATATACGTATGTAACTACCGCGTGCTCGAGCGTGAATGGAGCAGAGAGAGAGAGAGAGAGAGAGAGAGAGAGACATGAAAAAAGAAAAAGAACAATATGTTTCGACGTGTTAACGTACAATATCAATTCCGTCATACGGTAGGAAAGCAAAATTCCATTGTAAACGGAGACTTATCGTAAGCACAACGATTAAAATGTCGTTATAAGTAATTTTAAAACGAACGATACGAGGGATCGATGCGTAGGAAGAGAATCGATATAGGCGGCATTGAATCCGCGACAACGTCGCAGGAGTCCCCCATAATTCATAATCATAATGTTTAAACGAACATTCGTTACAACTAATCACAGACTTTATTCTTAAAAGCGTAACGAGAAACGGTCACTTTGAAACTGAACTACGTCATTCTCACGTACACACCATGTATTAACGTGTATTTTTTTATAAATCAAATACGAAATAAAAAGTCCAAGCTTTTACGAGATCGTTGCACTTGTTACAGTATAATCCCGTTGTCACTATTCGAATCGACGGCCGACGTTATTAATAAAGCTGTTGGAAGTATGTTTATACCTTACGGATCATTTTTCTTCGTCTCCTTAACCATTTTCCACGTGAGAAAACCACAACGGATCCGCTTCGATTGGGATCCAGCAGTGCACTAAACTTGGAACGATTACCTAAAGCGCGGGAAGAGAATCGAGAATCGATATTTCGAAAACTCAAACAAGAGTCTAACCTCTAAACCGAGCGATCATTTAAAATGCGTCTTTGTGTAGTGATCCGGTAGCGTGTAATTCTTGATTCTTGAGAAAGCCATATGATGTCCGTAAGTATAAAATGAAATATTTTTTTCTCCTGAAATACTATTGATACAAAGTAAGTAAAATGACCTGAATGATTTGTTTCTTTTTACAGGCACCAAAACAGGTAAAAGGTTTGTTACAGCAACGACATAACCTCGAAATCATTCAATCTTCTATTTCTTGTAGCAACAGAATGCCCACGGCGAGCCTAAAGAAAGAAAAAAGAAGGAGAGTATACTCGATCTCTCGAAGTATTTGGAAAAGAACATTAGGGTAAAATTCGCAGGGGGCAGAGAAGCTGCTGGAATATTGAAAGGATATGATCCTCTTCTTAACCTAGTGCTGGATAACACTACAGAATACCTCAGGGGTAATTTAATGATACGCATAATACATTGTATTATACTCCAGTTCGTGAATTTTGGCCGATTAAGGGGAAAGCTCACTGGTTCATTGTTAATAGCAGTTTGCTTACATTGAAATTATTCCTTCGTTATCTCAATCGGCCAAAATTTATGAACTCGAATGTTTAGAACTATATTTTGCTTACCAAAATATTTCTGTTGTCAGACCCAGATGATCCTTACAAGTTGAATCAAGATACTCGTATGTTAGGCTTGGTTGTGTGCAGAGGTACCTCTGTAGTACTTATCTGTCCAGTGGATGGGATGGAATCTATTCAGAATCCTTTCATACAACAGGAAAGTTAAACAAATCGGCGTTTACATCGGTGAAGATCTTCAGGACTCAAGCAAAACCATTTGCAAACTATCTGCATCGTACGTCGCAACGAACGGAGAACCTTTTTTATAACGAAAATGGGCATAATTTATTTTGCATGTAAACTATATAAACTTGTATAGTAAATAGACATGATTTTCTTATCAAATATACGCGAGTCTCTCGGAAATAAATAATTCCATTGTCTTCTTGTGCACATACATAATTTTACACACGGCATCGCGAAGACGTGTCACTCTAAACCGAACTCGTTTCTCAGCCATGGATATTCTTTGGGACACTCGAAACACGTGTGCAGATAACGATACGACTTCAGCACACGGCTGGGCAATTTACAGCTGCTCGGTAAGTCGCAGGCGACTTCGAACGGCTGGAATTGTCGCGTGCCGCATCGCCACGGACGGAACTTCTCGATCTCGTTCAAGGACGTCGGTTCACGCATCCACTCGATCGCTTGATGACTCGTCACGAAATACACGTCGTTCAATTTCAGCGCGTCGTCCATGAATTTCTGAGCGAACAGTAGAAGAAACGGATAGATCTAAATTCGAGAAAAAAACATTCGACCAGCTTACCGTGAACGCGTAAAAGTACATAGGATTCTGGAACCAAGACGAGTGGAGATGCAGGCCCAGAGGGGCACGATTGCTGAGATAATGCCTTTTAAAGTTTAACATCAGTATCCTGTACACGTCTTCGCCCGACAACTCCGACGAGCACGAGTCCAGTCTCGGGCAGCTGTACCCCTAATGCGTAATGTCAAACAGTTCTCTGTATTTTAACGTCACTGCGCCGCTGTATCTAACGACACGCAGTATTTTCAGCAATATCGTAAACACGACCTTTACGAAATGCCTGGTTATACGTACACCTGCCCAAATTTGATTCAGTGGAAGTTCCCAGAGGCCTGGATACGCACGAGTCGGGCAGTGTTGCTCGGTGCCTACGCAGCCGTGCGGTGGTCTGTGATCCAACGTGTACGGCCACAAGGGTGGATCGGAAAAAGGCGCCAGCATGGACGAGTCGTAGACAAAGCCAAATTCCGACATCATTAAAAACTGTCGATTCCAACCGACGCGTAAGAACGGTGCTCTTAGACCTGTTCAATGAACACTCAAAATCCTAATTTTTCTCACACCAATTTACAAATTTTTTATAACGTTTATCGACGGAAGCTTCAGTCCATTCGGACCGAGGTGCTCGAATTTCTAGCCACTGTACCTTTAATGTCTTTCAGCCGTACCCCAGCATACTTGTTGATAATATTCGCCACGCCGACCATCTCGTCGAACCAGTCCTCTATGGTCGCGTTCTTGGACCACCAATCCTCGGGCCCCCGATGCCTGCACATTTCGACAACGGATAAATCACTAGAACGCGTCGTTTCCTGTATTTCAAGAACGAATTCTTACGTGACCGAGTGCGCGGCAATCTCGTGCCCGATGTTCCATAAATACTGCACGTCTCTGTAGTTGGTGTACTGATGGCTGATGTAGAAAGTCCCACGAACCGGGCAACCGTTAGGATTCTTCCTGTCGTCCGAAAATATCTCTGGAAACAGTGCCAGAAATCGGGACAAGATCAACTTTCTCTGGGACAGTACACGATTATTGATAACGGTATTACTTTTCGTCGACTGGTACTTACTCGAGTACAGCTCGAAATTCTCAGCGTTCACCGCGTCGTCGAAGGTGACGATGATCATCTGCGGGACCATCGATGCTGTCAGATTACCCGGCACTTGAGTCCCATCCACGGAGCACCAGCAATTCGGCAGCTGGCATTTCGTTGGATCGCAGGCTGACGCCCCGTTTGGATCGTTTCGAACGTCTGTGAACCGATCGTTGGCGCGATCAGATGTTACTGACTCGTGAGATTGGGTCAACTGTACTAATCTAGACAGTTGTATCCGTTTATCATACTTTCCAATCGGTATACGATATCACGTAACAACTTCTTTCACCTTACGATTCGAGCTAATTCGTCTGGACCAGTGTTTCCCAACCTTATTTGGATCATGACTCAAAGATCTCGATGCCCCCAAGTTCTGAAAAAGTTGAACATTAATACCCAGATAGCACATGACCTTACCTGGGTAGTAAACCGTGGATATCCTTTAGGATCATTGCTTCAAAATCTTTACTTCGAATAAAAAAAAAGGCACATAGATAAAACTGTTGATGAGGTGGCGATTGTCTATGATTTGCAAATGGCCCCCAATATATTCAAATTTGTTTTCACGTTGGGAACCACTGGTCTGAACGGTGAAATTCACCAGTCTCCCCGATTTACAAATTGAACACGTGTGCATCATAAACATTGAACTTGCACAGGAGGTATATTTCTTACCGCACCAGCCTTCGTCGGAGCCGTCGGGACAGTCGACGCTCCCGTCGCAGAAGTATGCAGCCGGGAAGCAGGTGCCATCGCCGCAAGCGAAGTGCTTATCTTCGCAGTTCCCGTTCCCGAGCAGCGGTCTGGGTGGTCGTGTCTCTGTAAATCGCTTGAGAGATTTCGAATCACCTAGGTAACTCGACGACGACGAATTCGATAATTTGTTCGATGATTTATTCTTACTAGTCTGCCGTAACGTTCTAAATCGCATATTGTAAAAAATGGTTTTCACCCGTACGAATTAAATTGAATTTAACGCCCCCGAATCATGGGACAGAAAATTCCATTGCATGTTAGGTCTATTCTCATATTCTCGTCTGTGGTACAGGTCGTGAAATCGCGTACCTGAGGTCACGTCGCAATTGTCCACGTTCGCCTTGAAGTCGCATATCTGCCTGGAGACGTCGAACAGCAGCCCCTGCGAGCACCTGAACTCGAACACCTCGTTATCTGCAGGAGGAACGAAAAAAAAAAAAAAGGGAAAGTAGGACAGATCTAATCGACGATCGATTGCAGAATCGTAATTACGATATGGTAATTACCTAAGCAGAGGTAATACTTGGCGCACTCAGTTGTAGACCAAACGTCCCGGGCCGGTGCGTAGGGATTCCGATAAAACTTGTTGTCGTCGATACACGGTGTGTCCTCCTCCGATCTTCCTTTGCCTCGCGACACGTCCGCTGAAATACACAATATACACGAATCGAACCTCGCTCGGGATATCTGCCAGGGCTATCTTTGTCCCGTCTCTTTGTTCGCGTCGTCGAATACACGTTTAAACGCATGCAAGCTCGGTTGTTCCGAATTTTCGTTGAAAGATCGATCGGACTTTGGAACCGTTCGATCCGTGGATCCCCAATTCCACGAAAACCTGTGCCGTTGCGAAACCTTGTTATTTCCCCTCGGTGCGATGTTTTCACTCGGTCGCAAAACCAAACGGAAGTGAAATTTCCGGCGGTTAGACTCGCTACGGACACGGAACCAGGAACACACTCGATGGTTTCCGGTCCTTCGACACCGAAACTCGTGGGCATTAGGGCACCGATCGATCTTCCAGTTTTCAATCTGCTCTCCAATCCAACGGACAAGATCAGGAACAATTATCACTAGTGTTAAGCTACGTCTACACTATATATTAAGTTATATAGCAAAGTTATGAAACTTGTTATAAAGACGGAAAGAAAAATATTATATAACATTTTTCGTGTTATATTGTAAGTTACATGTTATCCATCAAGTGTGACGGCATTATTAATAATCAGATGCGAAATGTTATACAAACTATTGTTGCGGACTTTTCCAAAAGGTATAAGTTTGTAACAAGTTAGAAAAACACGTTGTATAACAATTTGTCAGAGATGGGCGAACTCATTATCTAGACAACAAGTTTCGAATAACGAATAAAAGATAAAAACAAAGTATTTCGTCATTTTTACGTGTTTAAACATGAAAATTTCAATTTTTATAATAAAATAATGCTTCTTTATGAATGAATCGACATTTCTTGAACAATTATTGAACCTCATTAACTGTTTAAAGCTCAGGACGACACCCTTAGATATTGCTGCTTTTCACTGTCTATTAGTCGAATAAAATTCTGCCCAACTCTGGTGGACGCAGCTTTACACGATTAAACGATCGTGGAGGAGGTGTAAAACTCACCGGAAATGGCGACCGCGACGAGCAGCAGCGTGCCCAGTAGCTTCGATCTCATGTTCGATCGCCGAGCGAAAACGTTCCGTTCCGTTTCTCGTTCCTCGTACGAGAGCCGGCACTTTCCAACTGACACCTCCCTCCAGAACCGTGAGCCTTATACGATGAGTATTCTCGCTTTGCCTGCCCTATCTTCCGACGGCCGCTTATTTTCACCGTCCACGATCCGGGGAAATGTGAATCGACACGCCGGTGTTGAAAAACTCGTGCCGATCGACCACCGAAAATATCGTTGCTTCCCTGTCGTACGGGGCCACGCGAAAGTTCCAAATGAAACTTTACGCAACGGACCACGCGAAACAGACGGATATCGCGTGCTTTCCATTTCCGTGACGACTGCGTGAAAATCACGAATGAAACCATCCAACGATCGAGGAACAATATCCCCAATTTTACTTTCTACAATGCAATTCCTATTTCTCTGCCATCGATTGTCGATTATACGAGGAATGAGAAGTCGTCGACAGTAAAATGGGCGTCATCAAGGCGTCGTGAAAAATAAACGATCGAAGAAAACCCATTGTTGTAACAATTTTTAAGCGTTGATATAGGAACGTACGACAAACCAGTTCCAGCGTTAACGAGCGGTGCAAGTAAAAAGTAAGGACGGAATCGCTGGAACGAACGGTAATTAATGGGCTAATCGGGATACGAAACACGTAACCGGAAACGGTGCGACATTCAGCAGCGAACGGGATTACAGATCGTGGATTCGGTAACCGGCGGCCGCCCCGCTCGAGGAAAGTTTTCCGAGATTCGCGTGTAACGAGCTGTCTTCGACGAGCCAAACGTACGAGTTGGCTGATGCAATCGCGTAAAATTGGTGTTTTACAATAGACACGTCTGTGTACTCGTATATAGCCCGTAGGGTATACAAGAAACGGCTCGTGCATTATGCGTGCCGGGAATTTCAGAAGGTCGTGCAGCCGCGAATTACTGAAACTCCCAGACGATTTTCGTCGATAGCGGAATTTTCGACGTGATTTACAGGTAGACACGCGACAAACTCGGTTTCCACTAGGGGAAACAGTGACGTAGGGAATTATTGAAATTTATGCCAAATTAACAGTCGATTTAACATTTATTTCAGTACTTGAAATAAATTTATGAAGAGGTAGGAGACTTTTCCTCTACGCCACTTTTTCCTAAAGCGGAAGCCGAGGGTACAATACCGCTTATACGTGTATCAGAACACCTGACCTGAGTATGTGACACTCGTTCGTTGTGAACATATGAGTTTTACGTAACTATTTCAACATTAACGCTTTTTTACACTGATTGGAACTTATCCCCGTTTATCTTTATCATCTGTTTTAATAAAGATGTTGGGTAAACGCACCAATGAGTGAACACTTAAGAGATTTTGTAACTATTAATTGTGCTTTCATGATAACGACGAGTCTCCCATTTCCGTATCCTCCAACATTTCTCTTACACCCTGTATATTATCCAATGTGGAGCCGACTCTGTAGCCGTGGTCTGGACGACCTTGAACATTGGCACCGCGCGGAGGAATCAATGTCACGGTCGAACGTTTTCTCGATCGTTTCGAGACGACCACGCAAAAATAAGTCCGATAGGAGCGGCACACGTTGGACGTTTTCCCCCACGAGAAAATGTCTAATTAGGAACGGCGAGTCGACGCGATCTTGGACACGTCGAGGCGACGACAGCATCCGGGGCGGTTAATTAACCGGGCGTCGAGAGGAACGTCTCACTCGAGTCGATGTGGAGCAGGCAGAGATCGTATTTGCATGATCCGTGGGGGGTGGGAGGCGTGGTCTCTTTCGCGCGTATTCTTCTGTAATAGTCGCGACTAGGCGATCGGCCAAGCGAACTCGAAAGGCCATTAGCATCTCTGCCCCCCCCCCCTTTAGCGAACGTTCTCGTGTTCCTGAAAGAAACGAGATTAGAACAAAGTTACACGCACGGAGAAGCGGAAAATTATGGGTGGTGTTTACTCGGCACGAAAATACACGGCCCGTCGACCGACACTAGCGCTTGTAAGTCTGTGGCTGTAAAGAAAAACGCTAAGTCATGATGTTGAAAAATTTCAATTTGTGCGCTAATCGAACTGTAGAATATAGGATCTGTGTATTTATCGGGCAAATGTGCGTGATACGCAATCTGTATATGTCCTCGAAAAAACTAATTAAAAGTTCAAATCCAATATTTAATTCATACGCATTTTAGGCGGAGCGATGGAAGTCCAAAAAATTTGAAGAATTCGACATTATTACTCGTATCTTTCTTTTGCGGTCGCTCCTTGGTTTTTTACTTCTATTAAGCCGATTGTTGTGTAACTTATTTTCTATAAAATAAAGGAAAGAAAATTAGATTCAATATTTTCATTTTACGAAAAATAGCACACGAGGCCTTGAAGACGCCCATTTTACAGCTGTATTAGGTCTAAGGCGTCTTTAAGCCGTCTTCAAGGCGTCATGTGCTATCTGCTAAATTAGAACGAACCTCGAGGAAACAACGATGATGTCTATCTTTATTAATTACTAAACTGCGGATTTTATGCATTTATAGAATATAATATCATCTAAGATTCAGTATAGCAAAAAGTTCCCGAAATTTCATTCAAGTTTCCCATTCATGAAGAACCGAAACAAACATTTCCTTGTATCCAGTTTCGAGAAATTAATCCATAAAATATTCTATTTGCATAAACATCCGCAGTCAAATGATCAGCGAAACCGTTTTCGGTCAGGTTTAATTGCCAAGGGGGTCCGAGAAATGTTCCCAGGAAGATGTCCGACTCGAAAGTTCCGTCCTCGATCGGGGAATACCACCTTGGCTTTGACTCGACGACGGATTCCCCCCCTCGTTCCTCTCCCTAGTCCGATTTACGCGTGCAATTAGCCTCGACGACGGTTAAGGTGAAACTCTGTTCCCTCTAACGAGTCTACTCCTCCAGTTCTCTAAAAACAGGATCGTTGGTCAAGCGTCTCGGACGAAATCGTCGAGAATTAACGAAATAAAGAGAAGAAATGTACACGGTAGTGGGGGAGATACGGTGACCGATGAAAGCCGGCGAAAGTGATTCGCTTTCGTCCGGAGTTCGGTGACTGTGTGTGTGTATGTCCACGGTGACAAACGTCACCACCTGGGAGCCCCTTCCCTTTTCGTGTGTGGTCAGCTTCGTCTCGAGCAGCAACACCCGTCGTCGTGTCCTTCCGTTTCGGTGGGGTACTCTAAACTTAGCCGACGACTCGAGGGAGACTCGTAGTCGAGAGTAGTTCAGTGCAAAACCACCATCCTCTCGGGCCACTTTCTCCGTTCTCTGGCCGATTGGTTCTCCCTCTTTCGTGCGTAATTTCCACTCCAGATTCGAATATAACGAAGGTGGCAGGCGGGTAATCGAGTTGCGATCCGATCCGCAACCTCGTGGTCGCGGTCCGTTTCCATCTAGTCGAGCAGGAAACCAGAAAGAGAGGAAGTCGCGAGGAACGATTGTGCACATCCGTGAGAATCGAGGGAGGTGGGTGTGCGTGAACGGAAAATATACCTCGGAGAATGGCCTACAGCTGGAACAATCGGGTCGATTTCATTGTAAGGTTTCTCTACGGTTAGTAGATATCTTGGCGAAGTGTGAAACCGTTGCTTTTCGTGGAGATCGACACAGTCCTGTTGCACCGACCAATGTGACGTGTCTTGTACGGAGAGCATGATGCGTGAGTACCCTGTTAGCCGGAAGATGTCTCTAATTCCGCCCTGGAGAACTCTCGGGAGCTTGGACTGCCTTTGGAAATCCTCCTTTACTTCCTGGTGTCCTCGAAAGCCGAAACGTGTACGTACTAACAGGTTGCTGGTGTTGCGGACTAACCGAATTATTTAAAAGAAACATCGTTTTCGCACTTGGATCTGGCCGAGGTACGAGCAACAGGGAAAAATCGGGGCTACCAGTTGGCTGCGAAGAGTGGCATGCTTGTTTAGGATTTAGGTTGACTTCAAAGTAAACCACGCGTCGTCGCAACGTCTGCAATTGGTCGATGCCAAATTTAAGCTTGGCTCCAATTTGTTTTATGGAACATTCGTCCCGGCCCGGCGTATCGGTTACGGGCCCACGAACGTATTACGAATTACATCGTAAAAAAAAAAAAAAAAAAAAAAAAAAAAAAAAAAAAAAAAAAAAAAAAAAAAAAAAAACATTACAGACACTATGGTAGGTCGTTCAAATTGTAAATTAATATCGTCTGTTTATCAGAGTGATCGCAAAACACGGCTTACGATCGCTAACGAGATTCTAAGCGATTTGGAAATATACATACTATTTCGATCGGGTTGACGTGCGCGCGCGAGGGGTCGTGTACTTCGTGACGAGAACCCAACGACTTTTGCCAGAAAACGAAACATTTGGAGCTGGTCCAGAGATCCGTCTCTACTCGTACGAGCAAAAAATCCGCCGTGAAATAAATTGCCGCGAATCGATCGATCCCAAACTTCGATTGAAATCGATTAAAACGGCTATTAAAAACGGGCGACGATCCCGATCTGTTTAGACACGGACAACAATGGCATGGTGGAGAAGCACGATTTCGAGTGCATGGCTCTCAAGATGACCCTGATCGAGGGCAAAGGGGAGTTCAGCTATAGCCGATACCAGGAGAACCTGCACATCATGCTCTCCCTATGGGACGAGATCGCCGAACTCGCGGACTTCAACAAGGTAAATCTACTCGAGTTCGAACAGTTTCGTCGACAGACAGAAATTGTTCAGTTGACAGTCGATTCGATTCTGTTCACTGGAATTCAACCCGCCCTCGAAATTATAATTAACCTTTGCACTCGGAATTTCTAATTTTCCATACATTCCCAGATAGCACGTAACGCCTTAAAGACGCCCATTTTACGACGTCATGTGCTATTCTGGCTTTTGTCCCTTCAGAAGGGACGGTTGAGTGTAAAGGGTTAGTATCTCCAATGCATAAATGTACTCTGTACATCGTTCGTTCATTGGGATATTTTCTTCAGGACGGTATAGTGACCATCGAGGAGTTCAAGGAGGCGGTACAAAGAAGCTGCGTCGGGAGACAGTACAGAGACTTCCCGCAGGCGATGAAGATGTTCATCGACAGCCATTTCAAGCTGGTAGACATGAACGGTACGTAACGAAAGCAATACCACAGACGAGATACAAGGATAGACCTAACATGCAAATTAATTTCCATTCCTTGCTAGCGAAATCGGGACAATAATGTATGTATGTTTGCTATATGCAGTGATGGGTGTGTGTGTGTGCTGCCTGTTATCACGGTGTCGAACATAATTCCTGAAATCGGACACTTTTATATAGAGGTGCGCTCTAACCAGCGTGATTTTCGTGGGACACCAAGTCCCATAAGATGTTAGGTCTATTCTTATATCTCGTTTGGGACGTTATCGTTACGACTAACGCGTAATGTATGTTTTCCAGACGACGGTGTCATCGCCGCGGACGAGTTTCGTTACAACTGCGTGACCAGAATCCCCGTGGACAACGTGCACATTCTGGACGAAGCCTACCAAAACCTGCTCAACGTAAGACGCGACCGCGAATGATGTTTCTGTATTCAGTACACGCGCGGTTTATAAGAGCTCACGATCCTGAAATGCTATGCAACCTTTTCTCCGTATCGAGTCTATAGATAGACACTGCTGCTATGTAATTTTGACCTTCCGTGTCCGACCAAACAGACGGCACCTCCGTCGAAGAGACACTCGGTCGGACGGTGTAACAAACTCGTGCGTGGCCATTCATAGACAAGCCTGCAAATACAGGGTAGCAATGTGCGGATGTAACCGAATTAATTCGGAGTTCAACACGAGGACAACAATCGTTTGACCGTGTGCCAACTTCGTGGGGGCCTCTGCGTGGTCTTGCGTCGAGCTGAAAGACGCGCTGCACTAACTAAAAATGTTTTTTGTTCACCGTTTGAACTGCGATTTTAATATAAACCTGAGCGACGTTTGTAAATCAACAGAATAATCATTTTAAATGTCGATTTTCATTGGTATTGTTCCGCAGGACGACGACAGGAAACGCGGCGGTCTGACGCTGTCGCGCTACCAGGAATTGTACGCGCAATTCCTCGGCGATCCAGACGAGAACTGCCCGGCGGTTCACCTGTTCGGCCCTCTACACGCCATGGGTTGACCGCAACGCCCCAAACCCTTCGCATGGTACACGTACAAAAGACAATCCCTGATTATACCTTATTTAATATAATTGTTATTTAAGTTCTGCACAGACCACGCAAATAAATCGCATTATTTTATCGTAAAAAGAGAAACATTCGAACCGAATCTATCCATCCTTCGATTTTCTCGGTGTAGTACCCTCGCTAGCAAACTCGGCTTTCGTTAGGTGAAAAAGGGATGTAAGGAAAAGACCTCCTACCACTTGGTTTCGGAGTTACTGAAATTTATGTCAAATTAATATTCGGTTTAACATTTATTTCAGTATTTGAAATTAATTTATCAAGCAGTAGGAGGAGCTTTCCATACGCCACTCTTTTCCCTAGCGGAAGCCGAGTTTGCACGTTAGTGTACATATGTCCTCGAGAACTCCTCCAGGGTGTAATAGGATCTCGTTTGATTTGGCACAAGAGCGAGTGGTCTTAACTAACAACAAGTGTTTCGCCAACGTGCACAGACACCGACACATGTCCTGCTTGTGTTTCACCATCGTCGAGCCAACTTGTGAATAACGATCCAGAGAGATAGATCATGACAGTTGTATTCGTATAAACAGAAAAAACGTTTATTCGTATTACGTGTTTGACACGGTTTCGCGTTGTTCGGACACACCCTCTTTGGTAGCATCGCCGTGCTCTGCCCTCGCCTCGAGAATTTTTAATACTGAATTTCTTCATTTCTTTTTCTACAGTGATATGCGCAGTCTAATGACACCGTTGCACCACGTGTTGCGGTATAATACGTACGTACACGTGAATATGAACCCCAACACCATAATACATACTTTTGTTTAACGTTCACGACGGTATACTTTCTCTCCTTGCTTTCTTTTTTTTTGTTTCTTTGTAATCTTTTACCATTTGTACATGCACAAACATACTTTTTTATCGTGTTCGAACGGTGGACTCGATCCCGTAACGGTGGGGGGATCACACAACATCGAATAGCACGGACGAAACGATGCCGTTATTTTGTTTGTTTTTCTTCTAATCAATATTCTCGTAGCGTAACAATTGAGAAAACATTATCCGTCTAGTAATAATAATTTTAACTAGCGAGATTTTACTGTTTCGTAACGTTACCGTTGCCATATCTCGTTTCTTCTATGGTCAGTATAAAAATCGTTTCTTCGTATACAAACAATGTTACAAAAACGTACCGCGAGCCCGGAACTCGCGACAAGGAAATACGATTCGAGTGTTTCTAATGGTTAATGGGAACAACATCGATCGTTCTTCGCGGTCAGATTTTCGTACAGGAAGAAAAAATAAAAAAATAAAATGAATACTCTGTTGAGAATCGATTGCAGGACACCGAACAGAAGCGCCACACTTCTCACGAGACATTTTTACACACAGACGAAGCACGCTTAACGGAACTTAACAACAGCTAACACGTCACACTACGTTATTCTCGCTTTTTAGTAATTCGGCTAACTACCTTCTCCGCTCGTTAAAAACCACCCAGAGAGTCTTTTTGACAACGTTCCCTGGCAGATCGTGAAAACATAAAGGCACCGAGCAGCAACTATGCAAACTCCTTTCTCGTTTTCTTTCTTAGACACTCAAACAATTGCGACTCGGTTTGAAACTTTTCAATCGAAGTTCAATCAGACTCTAGAGGTTATTGAAAAATATATATATGTATAGTTGCTTAAAACCCTACAGATTACAGAAGATAAAAAAAGTTGCCGGATTTTTGCTTTGATGTTAAAACAGAACCAAAAAGAAAAACATGTATCTCGAGAAACTACTCTTTCTCTTTAGAATATATATATATATATATATGTATATCGTGTATCGTATCATGGAAAAACGAGGTGGATATCCTCTCATGTTCCAATATTAACAGTCACGTATTCGAACAAGTTCCGTCGTTCTCGTGCAACGTAAATTTGGGTCTCGTTCGTTAATTTGTAGCTTTATCTCGACTAAGGACGGTTGACGACGCACGGATTCGCCGAGAATTCCAGACTTTCGTTGCACAGATCACGAACGTTCGAAGGTAAACACGTTGATAATATATTTTAACACTGGCTCCCGTCGATCGGAGGATATTTTTATGATGAATCGTCGTTAATATCGGAAACGGTTTCTAGCCAACACGGGACACGAAAGAAAAGAAAAGAAAAGAAAAAAAAAAAAATGCACGCGCGTCGATGAGGCACGACATTGAAATGCAAATACATTTACAAACAGTTCACCAAGCAACAACGGTTTACCCGCGTATTTCCTTCTTTTTTTCCATACGAAAAAAATAGCGGAAAAGCAAACTGACGTTCGTGTTAAAACTAACATTACATACACACACCCTGGACACCACTTTCTCGGATCGATCCGATCCATGATCGGTGCCAGGCGCTTAAAAAGTAACACGGAAATACATAATCGTAAAGCTTCAGAGCGACAAAGTAACGTTAAATTAAGAGGCCATCCTTCCACAAGATAATAAATACGCTAAATATATCGCAAGCTTACCGTACGCGTAACAGTATACAAAACTCCTTCTTCCTAGTTACAAAAAAAAATATATATATATACCAGACACGAACTTCATAATTCACGTCGATATCAAACGATTCTTCTATTGGCGATTCGTACAACTTGTATATGTATCGATCGGTTGACAACGAATTTACTCGTCGGCAATCGGAGCTATTTACGAATGTACATGCATCGTACTTGATGAGTTATTTTATAACTTCAGTTCTCCCCAAGTACAAAAAAAAGTTCATGTTATTCTCTTATGAGGATTAATGCTAGAAGGTCACGTGATGATCCGTCGTCGCGTCTATGGAGTTCACACTGGCGTAGGAAGTGGTTGGGAACTGATTGTTGTCATTTTGGAGTAAAGGAGTGTGAGGCCCGCGTTCTTCACCTCTAAATTCGTTTCTAGCCCTGTTGGCACAGTGGAGGCCTCTGGTGCGCCCTCGGCGCGACATCACGCCTGCAAGCATCAAAAGAAAAAAATAACGTATCACTTAACCGATCTGTCTATTCTTATTTTCAACTAGCAGCGACACATTGTAATTAACTAAACATTCACCTTTGTGCATTACTACATATATAAATGTGTACAAACACGAGCCACTTAATCGACAAGTGAAAAAGGGTACAGTTTATTCTTACAGATTTGTAAATCCTTTCACAAGCTGGTACTCTTTGGATCTCCGCCCACTTGTCGATCAAACACTCAAATAAATAAACCGTGCTATTAACGTGCTCGAAAGAAAAAAGAACAAAATGGCACATTAGAGAAGGAAGCGGGAATACGAGTATACTGTTCGATAAGTGGCTATTCATTTTTCCATATCCCTTCATTAACCGTATACCACAGCCAGTAATGACACACAACGAAGCCCACACCACGTTTCCCATTTTACACGGTTCATGGAAACGGAAATAAAATAATCGACTAAGTAACGCGCGTGGTGGTACTTGATCACGCGTTGCACGCGATGGCCAACTAACCACAAGAGCACATTTACAAGACACAAAAGGAAAAGGAAAAAAAGTTATAGAGTTAACAGGCATATATGTCATGACGTAATCTAATTACAAAATTCAAATCACAATTACAATGTAATCAACTGTACCAAATTTACAATAAAAATTGCATAATTACGATTTTTAGATTTTGTAATTAGATTACATTTTGCCCACCTCTGGTATGTCGAAACAATGAACACAAGGAAGGAATGAAAGAAGCTAATTCAGAGGCAAAGAAGTGTGTGTTTATGAAAGTCGATGTCTCATCCCACACTCATCGACAAACACACACACAGACTTTCTCGTTGTGATGTGCGCGCGTCTCATGGTAGTACTGGAAGCTAGGTGTCTGCGAGAGGAAACTGGAACAAGTGTATGCGAGTGCAGATTACCCGATACTGGATGTAAGCAAGCCGGATGTGTTCGATGTATTTACAGTAAACGCTTGTCCTGCTGTTTGTGTTATCAATCGGACGCCTCGAAACGATTGACTCTCCGAATAGGAGCGATTTAACTTGGTAAGCAGAGTGTCGTTGCTGCAGACGGTCAAACGAGGAAAAAATAGTGTACACGTATTCTCACGGATAGTCACGAGACGTAAAAGACGAGTGTAAAAAAAATATGGCTATCTTGCGTACCTATCTTTCGTATTCGAGCTCTCTGAAGGTGGGTGTGCTTGTGGTGGGTGTGGGAGGAGAATTGAGTTTGCTTACACGATGATTCAAGGAAGTCTCCTGCACATTGTCCAGATTTCCTTGCATCGCTCTCTTGTGATTCGCCAGCTTCTCTCTGTTCATGGGTGTGCCTGGAACCACCGGGAGCCATAATACTTTCTCTCTTTTTTGTTATGTTATCCTTCTCGCGAAGAAGCTACTCGAAGACCGTTCAATATTACGGGAGTATTGTATGTGTGTGCGTGTCTGTATCGGCACAAAAACGAGTACAAACATCTTTGAACACTGAAAGGCATACGAATGAACCTCCCGGGAACGTTTGTTATACGTTACAATATATAGGGATATGAAAATCGAATTCATTTATTATCACGTTGCTCGAGGAACGCTGGTTGTTCATAATAAATGAATCCGAAAGTTTGTCGTGAAACGTGATTTGCATAAAAGTCTAACGCTTGTCAAGTTTTTCTCTGGAAGTCCTGAATGTTTAGCCTTACCGATATAACTGAGCAATACTGGCAGGAATATTAAACCATGGGCAGCTCCGAACAGTACGATACCCAAATACATCCGGAAGTAGAAGACCTGAAAATTGTATTTCGCATAAAAAAAACAATATAGCAGGATTACATACACGCACAAGTGCGCAAGACTTGGTCGAGATTTTACCTTGAAGATTTGACTCTTAGCGAACCCGAGGACAATGATACCGCCAAACTTTGTAAGTGTGATGCCGCTGAAAATGGAACTTCCCATATTGGTTAACGCGTCGGCAACTCGTTCGACTCGTGTAGTCTTCACCGACACCGAGAAGGAATGTACTAGATGACTGCAAAATTCTACAGCAATGCCTACAGCCTGCGACGGAAAAATAATCACTTGTTTCTTTATACACGATCAACGATAAGAATATTTAAGTTTATATGCAGCTTACCATAACGAGGTTGACCAATGACACTGCGTTCAACGTTATGTGCCACCAGTACATTAAACCGCCAATATTGACGACAATCATCGTGATTGTTATTATAACGACCACCGAGGAAAATATGTCGACACCCATCAAGAGGAAAGTCACCACGAAAATGGCGAACAATGATATGCCTATACTGTACAGCGTGTCCGGCCACATGGTCAGATATTGTTCGTAGAACACGTAGAACACGCTGTATGGGAAAACCTCGACTTCGGTGGAAGTGTCGCCCATATTTCTTAGATTGCTATTGATCATGTTCGTTATATTTGCCGACACAGCTCTTGCAGCTCTCATCGACTCATAATAATCGGCAGACGACTTCAATATCGAATGATAAGCCATAAAGTAGGACGCTCCAACTTTTGAGAATCCTGTCTTCGGATCGGTTATGTAATTCACGCCGTGACCGTAAGCAGCGTGACCTGCCTTCGCGCACATTTCATCGGGATTGTCTTGCAAAAAGAAGGACACGTATCTCTCGAAATTTATTGCTGTTGGTCGACCGTTGATCGTGCTTATATTGCACGTTGCGCATTGATTCGAATACTCTGAAAGTGTTGTAACGTAAAATGATTCAATTGCGTCTCGCATAGCACTAACGTATTGCCAACAGTAATCGAGGAACCGATTAACGTACCTGAATGCGGACAGAAGGAGCTATTTGAGACGAAGTATTTACAACAAGAAGTAAGTTGTGACCAGTCGATATAATCGTCCAGCCATGATGATGCGGGTTTTGCTATGTATGTCCTGAGGAATAGAATCGTATTACTTCAAGTTCGTAGTTTTATACGATTTAATCCGATCGATGATTCATTTCCGTTTTTTTACCTGTTCGACTGCTTCGACGCTATGAATATTTGAGTGGATACCGAGTCGTTATTACAATACTGACCACCACACACTAGATTCTGTTGACCCCTATCGGAATAATTTAGGCCGTCTTTTACGACAAAGTACATCGGTGGTCCAATCGACAAGTAACTATTCAAAAACTGTAAGTAAAATCCAATAAGGTTGTAGTCGGGTTATTCTGTATCCCCTGCCATCAGAAACATTAAACACCTACTTTGAAGTATTTCAATACAAAACTGTCTTCGGGCATGGAAAGTTCTTGGTCCAGGCCGATTTCGATATGCGGCACAACGGCTATGCTCGAACAGAGCCAGCCGAAGAAAAACAACATAACGAACGCACGCACCCATTTTTTCAGTAACAACGGAACGTAAGCGACTTTAAAGATTTTGTACAAGATTCCATTCACTACTTCTTCGCCGTTGTCTTTCTTCGAGCCACGCATGAAACAGCATACGTCCAGCCTGTTGCTCTAAAATTTCACAACATCAATTACGATAAGAAAAGCCTCTTGGAAGAATTACATTCCAAGAATCATTAATCGAATTTACGTACTGCTTGGCGAATCGTGTCCAACGCGAGTAAGCTGACAAAGCATGTTATTTGAAGTACAAAGTCCACCAGTAACGCCATACCGGCGTACAGAGCAAAGGCACGAACAGCAGGCATATCAGATAATCCACCTGCGGCAATAAAGCATTTCGAGAATGGTGAAAGCGTTTCTTCCAAAATCTTTTATGGGCCTGATCGTTCAACACTTACCAAGGAAGAAGCAACAACTTTCTGACACGCTGGTGAGCAGCATGCTCGGCCCCACTTGGCCAAGCGTGCGACCAATGTGCTCTGGTATCGACTCATTTGGACGGCGACCTTCTCTTTGATGCGTCTGGACTAGAATGAAAATGTTGTCCACTCCGACGGCAAGGACGAGGAACGGTATGACTTCAATAATAATGAGCGTGGCGGGAATACCAACGAATCCAAACAAACCCACGGAACAGACAACCGACGCCAACACAATGATTACGCCGCCGAGGCCAAGAGTAATTTTAGAGTCGATCTAAAATTAGGGCACGAATGTAAACACTAGATCCTCACGTTCTGTTAGAAAAATGGTAAAGTATATTCTATTCTTTTCTCTTAGAATGTACAGGATATGCACGTGCTGGAAGAATGCGAGGAAACAAAAAGGGAGGAGGAATTGGAGGAGGTGTTAGGAGACTGGGAGTTGAATTCCCGAAGAAAATATAGTTTAAGAGAGAAAGGCGAAAACTATGAATAATAAATAATAATAAATGCTAGATCTTTTCTCTTTTTCTTGTCAGAATTCTTACCAGAAATCGACTACAGCTCTTCATCTGACCCAGAGAGATTGCAATGTACGCGAACATAATAACGTACGACACGAGAATAGTTAGAACGTCGGACTGAGACTCGCGATTCAATTCGTCTTCGATCGACCGTTCGGAAGTAAAAGCCATATCCATGTACGCTGGTTTTTTCGTTGCAGTCCAATTTTTCATGAACTCGATGTAACTGAAATTACAAAAAGATTAAGGTGAAAATATGCACGATTATTTTTTTTCTATATATCAAAACACGTATTCTTCTGTTTTCACCTCTTTTCCCATTCCATGGCGGGAACAAGTTTGGATTTATCATGATAATTGTTCACCAGTAAAGTCAGAATCACAGCTGTGGCTTTCTCGTACGACGGATTATGAAGATCCTCGCCCGGTTTCAAGAAACCTCCCACCGCGATTGCTGGTTCAATCGGGCCACCGTACGACGCGAGGCATTCGGGATTGTAAGAGTTTCTGCGTGCAAAATATAGTGATGAATATACTTTACATCAATACAGGAGGGCATTTGATTTAGAATTAGCGATCCACTTACTGAGAACAAACTCTGAAATGATCCAAGTAATTCACTGTATAGTTATCCTCGTTGCTAGAGGAATTAAAATTTTCCATACTATCTTGCCAGTATCCCCATATACTTTGAATGACACACTGCGAAACAGTTGGTGGTCCTGTGAAGGGACTAGTCAACGGAGCAAAACAAATGTCTGCCAAGGTATAATTATTAGGGGTAACTATTCCTTTGATCCCTTCTTGGAGCTGATAAATTGTCCTCAGGAAAGTATCGTTAAACACAGGACCAAAGGTTATTGGACCATTTGTCGTTTCATGTACAATCTACAAGAAACGTTTGGTCTTATTACCCGTATTCTTCAAGTATAATATCTTCCGTTCTGTGACTCGAAACATACATTAGACAAACCAGCTGACGTGATAATGATCTGTTCGGTTCTATAGAATGGTTCAAAATGTTGATCAAAGTATTCCCTCTCCACTCGCGATCGAGATTGCGGTGCAGCCCACAATTCGACGGGATCAGTGGTTACGTGAATATACTTTATTCCGTGTCCCAAGGCAACGATAAATAGGAAACCCATGAAAAGCACGAACCACGGTCGCGAGGCACACGCTGCAAGAAATATGAAACTTTAGATAAAACTAAACCGTAGGCCAGCCAGTCGTGTACGGTTACCAAGAAAAATGCTGTCCTTGTACCTGTGCCCCACGAGCAGAAGAATTCTGCCAGCAGTTTGTCGGTACCAGCGCCCAATCTTTCAATAAATGTCGACTGTTCCTCCTCGTCGAATCCGCTCGGCAAGTCATCTGCAGATATCACACCTATAAAAGTTTCTGTGTTACGAACAAGGGAAGTACACGCATACGACCGAGACGTGATGCAGTAAAATGAGACAAATCGGAGAAAGTGTGCTGTAAACATATACATGAAGCAGCTATACATCCACGTTCGATACGAGAGCGTAATTTAGAGAATCGTCCTATGCATGAACGAGCTGCAACGAGAATGCTGGAATACCATATAAATATGGAATAAAGCAGTTCACCTTTTCTCGGCTAAGAAACGATGACCACAAACAATATGTATGCATGTTTACGAAGAGAAAGACAATGTGCGTCTACTAATTTAACCAAGCTTTGCAAACAGACGTTATCAGTAGTCACTGTGTTATGCGTGCTCTAACAAAAAAAAATCAACATACAGGACATTAATAGTGCCAAATAAAGTAACAATTAATTATAATGAAAATGTTGTAGACTTGCTAAATTTTTTGTAAGCACTTAAAATGAATACGAATTACGATGTTCTTTAGTAACTGCATTATAGCACAAATTATTAGTATTTATCCTCCTATATTTTCGAAGTTAATTGTATGTATTTGTCTCGCAGAATTATACGAATTTACCGTGTTTTATTATACGCACGCTTCGTGGCACGTTAATTCCTGAAAATCCCTAGAATTACGTGACGAGAATAAATAGTACATTTTGTCATGCTGAGCAGAAAGAGAAACGACGATACGTATGATTTAGATAAGCGGAGTTGACACAACTGTTCAAGCATAAAGGAAATGCAGCGATACAGAGAAGTAATTAAGGGACAAGCAGTAGTCCATATATTGAAGATACAGTTGGTAGGAACCTACTGGAACGCTTAGACTGAAGTGGGCTGTCTTCCTGGTCTGCGGCGAGAGCAATACGAGCACCATCTCCTGGGTGGTGTAAACCTGCAGCTAGGCGTCTACCCACCTGCCTTCCTACCTCCTCCCCTCGTGCGACTATACATATATGCACACCATACATACAACTGAAGATTCCAAATCAAATCTTTTTCATTGTATATAATTACATCCGCGATTATTAAGAACGGAATATCTACAAAGTTAATGGCCCCCCTCCCCCCCCCCTCCCGCTCAATAACAATTGGCAATTGAATCTGTTCATGTTTAAAATGTTCATTGAATTAAGTATAGTGCAGGGTTTACAAAACTAATCCTTCAACCACAACCAAACCAAAGAATGTAGAAGTAACACAACAATAAAAATCATCATCCTATGGCAGTCAGTCAATGGCACAGATTAGCGATTAGGGCGACTCACAATTAAATTGTATTTGTCAACCTTGAAATCGGGTGAATGGAAATTACATAGAAAATTAGTCACCGATGCGGAAATAAAAAAAAAAAAATTATGCGAATCATTATTAAATAAAATATATTACAAAGTTAACAGGAAAATAAGATGCACTGCACACTTGTGCGGTGTAGTGAAATTCAGCAGTTTCCTTAACCAAAAGTATATTGAAGATTTTGCGTTTCCTTTTTTTTTTTTAATTTTTAGATGGATACTTGTAAATTTGTTTTCTTACCGATCTGTTTCCTATTACTGAAGCAGACAATCGAGAGAATGAAGAGGAGTGAGCCACACACAAAAACAATTATCATAGTCACTGCATAACCGTCGTAACCAAGAATGGTGAATGGTTTTGGTAATGGAGGCATCGCTGGTGGCACTGGACAGCTGGCCTCACAATCTACACAGCTGCAGGCTGGCGTGTTTTTCTAAATCATAGCATCAAAGAAGAAAAAAATCAAATTTCTTTCCTTGTAGTTCAGGTCCAACTGATTATGATTAGTTTGCACTACCAATTAACATACAAGCACAAAGAAAAAACGTTCAACAACAGACCCAAGTTATATATGTTTATGACTAGTTAGCAATTCAAATAACAGTTGCATGTATATTGAATAAGAGAATGTATGTTAGATATTCATCTCCTTGTTAAATACTCACATTCAATGCCTTATTGCAAGGAGTAACTATGGGATCCACAGGTGTGAACGCACCGACCGGATTATCCGTATTTATGTATCTAATTTGGAAAGGAACATATCCATTATTCTCTGCATCGCCCATGTAATGGAACCATTTCAATGGAGTACATCTGCTAGCACCCCATTCTCCACACATTAAATCCAATGCTAATTGTCCGGTGCTAGGTACCGATACTTTATTGCAGGAGTTGAATGTTCCTTCTAAATATTTGTTTGTTATATACACGTCTATACTATCAATATATTCTGTAACTAAAAGCAAAATGAATGCATTACTTGACATATACATTAGCTTTTGTCTTATGGGGAAAAGATGTTATATCAGAAATGAATATAATTACCATTTTGTTTCTCAATCTTTACAACATCGATGAATGTGCTTTGTTCTGGGCTACAAGTGAACTCACAAAAGTGTTTCACTAAATTGTCTAAACAGCTAGGGCATCTGCTTAGAAAATTAGCTGCTAAGTTAATATTAGCGTCCATAGTTTTTAACTGATTTGTATCGCAACAAGTATTAATTCCATTCCCAGAGTCTTTGACTAAATGGGGACAGTTCTTAGCGAGCAATTTTTGTCCATCAAAGTCCAATGGTTTAGGTGGTCCAGTATAAGGACAATTCTTTTTATGCAAAAATGCATCCTTATAACATTCTCCATACCAAACACAGTGACTATTTTCAGCTGCAGACACCTGTGATAAAATAATGAAAGAAAAAAACCTCCAATTAAATTTCATCTCTATTATTCTTAAATAGTTAAGTGTAGATAAATGTATGTCGCATTAATTATCCAATGCTAAAGCATTATGAATCACTGCTCAGCATTATGAGAACCCAGACAAAGATAGTGACATTCCTTCCATGTCGAATCATTTCATAAGAGTAAGGGAGGCTGATATTAAATGAAGTCATTGATATAAATTAAATTAATCAACGTTGGCTCGATTAAGGGTACAAAGGATCAATGTCTGCTTAATATCTTCTTCAAACTTCATACATACTGACGCCTACTGAACAACTTTTACGCTACGAAATCTTAAAAACAATTTGAAAAAATATTTCAACAGGTATTATTTCGATCGCGAACGGAAATATCTCTGACTCATTCTTTGAGAAGTTGATATTCATCCGAATATCCGGCTAATCAATTTCCAATGTTTTGCCGCAATACCGATCCTCGAGTTTTATTTTTATCTGTGATCCTTGTGACGCGCATTCCTCTCCGAATGAATGTACACAAAAAGAGAGGCCAGACATAAATTCAGGAATTGACGCGACGCGCGTAGAGGAAAATAATAGAAAGGAAATACCGAGCGTTCTTTATCCGGCCGGAGATTAAAATTAAATAAACGCTTATGGTAATCTCGGTCGACCTCACCCCGACAAATGAAGCTTAAGTAAACGTCGCATCGGTTAATGTGTCTCTTTAACAAATAAGGCAAAGGTATAATTAAATTTAATGGAGTTCTTTAGTCGGCGGCAGCGTCTCTGGCGATAGGCTTTCACGAGGATCGGCCGAGATGACGTCACCCGATGTAAGGGTGTGGTATATGTGTGTGTATATTTGGACGATCGTTGCGATCGAATGTAAAAAAATGTTCTGCAACGGCTATTAATATTGCGGAAAAACGACTTACAGCTGCGACGAAGCACCAAACACTCAGCACGAGTAGCATCGTGCTCACGCGCGATATATTGGCGTCTGTCAAAGTCCGACTATGACCTCGAGGGAACACATCAACCCAATACATGGCGTGTTGCAACACCGAATCGATTAACTCGTGTCGACCGATTCCTCTCTTCCAGCGTATTCCGTTGTTATTGCGACGGGATCTTACGGTTATTCATTGCCTCCCACACGTTCAACAACGTTTCCTCGCGGTACGGATCAACAAACACTAAAAACAAATCGAACGTACTTCACCGTCAGACTATCATATCATACTGACAGCGACGCGTACCGTGACGGCAATACCAGCAATCTCCGCATCGGATATGATTCAGCGTTGCTCGGCTATCCTCGGCCGAACTCGGCTCCGTTCTCACGGGCTACGCACGGCACGCAGCGTTTTACCGGGAATCCGAAACTTGTGAGCTTCAATTTCAGAATTCCCGATCGGATCAGGTATCGAGCGATCAGCTAGAATAACCGACATAAATATGCGTGATTACTATATGTTGGCTGACATTAAACGAATAAATTATTTATTTATTTAGAATTGACGGGCAAGGCCCAATACAATGGATCGTTACAATACTTATGACGTGATAAGGTTTTCATGATAAGCTATTATGTATATTATTGAATTAATTGAGATAGTTTATGAGAGGGACTTAATACCGGTATAATGCCCAGGGACTAAAACCGATATGATTTTGATACTGGTATTTTACGCTTCGGTAGAAGTCCCTGGTTTGTAATTATAACATTACGTTTCCTAAACGACTAACATTTACTATCTTTGGAGTATAATTACCAATAGATCTAACTAATGAATATACAAGACAACGCGTAAATATTTATGGTCCGAACAGGAAAAAAAAAACTTAAACGGACGTATTTTATCGCGATATTATCCCCATAGTAAAAGTCTAAGCAGTCGGTGTATTAAGTAACCGGTGTCATAATTAATATAACTGATCGATGAACAGCCTTAATCGTATTTTAGTGTTACGCTTCATTGAATGCACACTCTTATCGGACGATTCGAAATATTTGCCCTGAGCATTATCTGAGATATGTCTGACTCACTTGTTATCTTAGCACAGGTACCATTCAAAACTAAATACAATTCACATGAGCTCTGGAACCAGTTAAGACAAACAAATATTATTACACGACAGTGATGACTTTCGATTTTTTTTCCTTTCATTTGCCGATTACTAATGCGTCCCTGATGTTCCTAGACTGGTCGTTCGATGGAATACTCAAATCCGTATCAATACGTTCTTGAAGAATGAACGTTGACACTTGCCTCTATAATTACAATACCCGGTACTTGCGTCATACTTCTGAAGCACCGTTTTTGTAAGCAGCGAACAACAATTAAGTACAACAGCTACGGTAACAGATTCTAAACCTTTTTCTTCTGGATGGAACGATTCATAATACAATACCCAGAAACATTGGAATTCGAATGTATTCGAATGTATTCCAGCCTTGGAAGCAAGAACATTTCTAATCTTTCCCAGATATCTATTCGTCGCGACAGAAGAAAATTCTAATTTGTAATGGGTTCTTGACGTTGGTTTTCGTTTGAAATCCAGATTTCCTACCAATCGACGGAAATTAGGTTAGTCTGGGCATGATCGCTCCGAGTCTACGCGAGGATAACCATCTAGAATCGTCCGTTCTGTTACGATACAATCGATGGGTCGGACCTATGTGGAACCATTAAGGTCTTCGGTTAATATCCGTAACATGAATAAATAGATAAAATACCAACGCCAGATAGCACTTCAGAGTTTGCACAGAAATCAAGAAACTCAAGGAAAATTTCTGAGATTGATGAATGGTCAACTAGTGGACATTCGTAATATAGGTCACGGCCAAATACTATATAGACTGTACATGGTGTTTCCTTCAGCCAACGCGGTGACACGACACCTTTTCTGCAAAATAAATTTCGTTCAAGTACAATTGGGTTTATACACGTAAGTTAAAGGGATAAAATTGAGAAATCGTTACTTGTACGTTAAAAAGCAAAAAGTTGCCCTTTATGTTTTTTGTGCGCAGGTAAACAATAGGAAACGCTGTGAGAAATCAGAATGAACATAAAATATCGATACACGCGAGAGAAACAACGGCAGTCTGCTTGCTGGCCGCGCAAATACCAGTCAAATAAACGTTAATTTGGTCACTAAGTAGATGGTGCGTCTCTCTCGTTTATGTCTAGCTTCACGTAACCGATCGCGCGTTATACGTGAAAGGTGCCACTTAACCTTTTCCTGTTTTGTTTTCCTGGTTTCACGCTGTTTGAGAAAATAATCATCGTCCGCGTAATCAGAGACAGAAATGTTATTATCCGCAACGATTAAAATGGTATACGAACCGTGATTCAGTGAATCTCTTAATTACTCATATTTGTCACAGATATGACGGTTTTTACGAACGATTAACAGTCTTCGTTTGTTAATTACCACGAGTAAGATATTTCCAGGTCAAAGGTCCGAAAAAAACCAGCAGATAAGCGGTAAGTAGGGTAAGAGGATCGAGACATCGATTGGCGTAATTTTTCTTTTTTTAAATGGAACCGTTCAAAACCGATTGGGCCGACATCTAGTAGTAGTAGATGCAACTGGTACGAAGGTAAACATACTGCAAGAGATTCTCGATAAATTAAGCGTCAAAGTAAACTAAGTTTCGATAGTGCAGAGGCTTATTCGTGCGAGTTCACATCGGCCACCGTTCCGGCAAACACTTTCCCGGAATATTAATCGCATCGATGAAACTGTATTTCTCTCCTTTACGCTGCCTTCAGCGTGCTCTTGTAAGTATTTCTTGTCACGTGAAAGACGTTACACGGCTTTTACACTTGTTTCTCCGTGCACGCCAGATGGCAACACTCCCCTCCCGGATATCCGTTACTTTATTTTCAAACCGTAAAATATGAGTCCCGAATAAACGGGAAACATGAATAAAAGTTAACGAAATCGGAAAAGAAAATACAAATATATTTAATCCAGTTAACAACTTCTCTTGATTATGCTTAATCAGTCCCTGTTTGCTAACAATGTCCGAAAACAGTTAACCCATTCCCCATACGACACCATCGACTGTCATCGTGACATTAGGTTAAAGAGATATTTTTTCTTTGCGATAAAGCCAATAAAATCACAACGGGGACTCAACGCGAGCGTACTCGAGTACTTGAAGCCGGAAGCAGTACTCAGCGAGGAGAACCGGAAGTACTTTATCGGGAGATTCAAAGCTCGTAAATCTAAGAAAGAATTGGACGAGAAAATATCGCGAGCAGCTATCTTGGTACCATTATGCAAGCACGAAGGCGAACTGGGATTCTTGTACACTCTGAGGTCCACAAAATTGACCTCGAATCGGGGACAAGTTTCATTTCCTGGTGGTATGTACGACGACGAGGATCGTAACCTTGAGGAAACTGCGCTACGCGAGACCTGGGAGGAGCTTAACATCCCAAGAGAGAAGATCGTTGTTTGGACTTCCGGTAACATGATCGACAAGAAGAACGTTCATGTGTTGCCCGTTTTCGGCTACATTGGCGAGGTCGATCCGAATAAGCTGCAAATTAATACCCGCGAAGTAGAAGAGGCATTCTTCCTTAGCCTAAGAAACCTTTGCGATCCGTCTCTATGTCGCTTCACTCATTTCCGTAACAATTACACGTTGCCAGTTTATTTGGGCGGGAAACACCGCGTCTGGGGTTTCACCGCAGCAGTAACGCACATGACTTTAAACGCTCTTGTACCTGACGCGTATAAACATAAACTCCCGTATCTGTGGCCAATTATCCCGCCGATCAAAGATAAGCCCAAAAATAACGGTCATTCGTGAAATTATGTATAGAATCTGTACTTTCCGTTCTGCTACGTGTATACTGTAACTGATTTGTGTAATGAATTGAAAAAGTCATTGTTATTCATCTTTTTTTCGAAACATGTTGTTTGTCTTACAACTGCAGTATTATCTAGAATATCTTACCTTTGATACGAGATTCTTTCGAATCAAAAAGTTCCTGTATCCTTTTAAAATTCAATAGTTAGTCCAAGTGAGTCCCTATGCGTTGAATACAGAGACAATGTATATAAAACTGTGCTAAACGTATAACATATTATACAAAGTCTGTGGCGCCATCTATGAAAAAGTGTCTAAAGTACTAGCTAATTAGTACGACATTCTCTACGGTAGATGTTGCCACGGATGTTTTCCATCCATTTACTAAACATAAGAAAATAGAATATTATTTAAAAACCCCAGAATCGACAATTGTTGAAGCATAATATCGATTTAAGGAAACTCAACAAAGAATTTGATATCATTAAAAACAACATTTAATCGCAATCTGCGCGTGTCCCTATACTTTTTCGGATACGTAACATAATCTATTCAACAGCATAATGTAATGTTGCTTACCTTTGTATACGTGTACCAATTACGTTTGTCAAGCACATCGTCTCGAGGAGAGGAAGTGAAATCTTCTTGTATTTACAAATTTTCCTCAAACTGATCTGAAATATCAGTAAAAATTGGTCAGTGCTTTTTGTGCTATTGATAAGTTCTAGAATTTCTACAAGAAACTCCACCTATTAAATAGAACGGTAACCCATTATCGAATGACACAACATGCAGATTTTTGACGTAAAAAACAACTTTCTCATTGGCAATTATCAAGAATGCATCAAAGAAGCCCAAAAATTAAAGGTCTGTAATATTGTCAATTATTATTCCCTCGCATATTGTCCAACTTACGTTCCAATGCAACTAATCTTACTTTTGTCGTCGTAGTTACGTTACTCGATGTTTGCCCATGTAAAATCAATTGATCATTTTATATTCTTTTTTCTGATTACAGCCATCTACGCCGGAAATAGCGATGTTACGAGACGGATACCTTTATCGCGCCTATATAGCACAAAGAAAGTTCCGCGTTGTATTAGATGAAATCAACAGTTCATCACCAGTGGAACTTCAACCACTTAAGACATTGGCGGATTACTTTGCCAATCCTAGTCGTAGAGAAACTATACTCGCAGAACTGCAAGAGGCAACAAGTCACATTGACTACGATAATCATAACTTTTTGATTGTTGCTGCCACTATTTATTATTATGAGAATAATTTGGAAGGTGCTCTTACAGTACTTAGAGATGTAGATCACTTGGAATGCCTGGCACTGAAACTGGCAATTTATTTGAAAATGCATAGGATAGACCTTGCAAAAAAGGTATTAAAAACTATGCAAGAGATCGACGAAGATACCACTGTGACCCAGCTAGCACAGGCTTGGCTGAACATTAGCACTGGTGCTGATAAGTTACATGAAGCCTTTTACATACTACAGGTATACATGGTTACTTGTTTTCCAGAATATATGTTTTCCCTGAAGAATCATTTATTAATATTCCTGTATTATATTACTTTAGGAAATGACAGACAAATATTCTCGTACAAATATGATGTTAAATGGACAAGCTGTCTGTTTCATTGGGCAAGGCAAATACGAAGAAGCTGAAACAGTTTTGCAAGATTCCCTGGAGAAGGACAGCAACAATCCAGTGGCTTTAATCAACATGGTTGTTCTTTCCCAACATTTGGGAAAGGCACCAGAAGTTGCTAACCGTTATCTAAGCCAACTGAAGGAATCTCACGCAGAAGATCCATTTGTTAAAGACTATACCCAGAAGACTTCAGAATTCCAAAGGCTTGTAAAGCAATATTCTGTGGGTGCATAGATGTATCATACTTCTTAGACATAAGGATTCTGCTTTTCTTTATTTCTCACAAAACGTTAGTCTGTCTTTCTTCAATTATTTTATATAAAACATAAAGAAGAAACATTGTTTTTGTAACATATGTAAAGAAAGTAAAGAGATACACAATAAACAAGTATTTGCCCTTGTACTTCGTCACATCAACATATGTGTTACTTTTTTCGAAATTTACTCATTAAACATCGTCTTCCGTGTGAAGGGAACTTAAGTGTTAAACGGTAGGCAAATGTTCGTTCGGTAAGTCTCCAATTTTCCACGCGTCTCGCCATCTAACGTGTTGTCCCGTAAGCGTTTAGTGTCAAGCCGAGAAACGTCTATTACGTCGAAGAATTCGAAAATTTGAACGGACAAGTTTCGTAGTCACTCGGAATGCGTTAAAAGTATCGGGAGCCTCGTCGAAATCCCAAGGACGTGTTTGTCGCGAAAGTAATAGATTTGCTAGAAAGGATCCTGAGACACTGTAATCCATTGAATTCCGGCGGGAGATACAACTGCATCCAGTTAGCAATTTTGAAATATTCTTCTTTTGGTAATAACGTGGAAGCAACGAGTAAACGTGTAGCCAACTCTTTTGGAAAATAACTCGCGATAGATCAAACGAACGCGGATTCTCGCAACATGGCGACATAAAATAGGTATACGATCACTTGACGTTAACTAACGCTCGAGAAACAACGATGAATTCTCCGCTAATACTTCATTCTGATTTACGTACTCGGATTTCTGTTATTTTCCATTGCTTCGCCTCGTTCATCGAAACTATGATTTTTGCCGAATTATTTATGAACACTGTCTTGAACGTTAACTGCTCGACAGGTAGATTTTTTTCCCGTGCAGTACATTTGAATAATACTGATGGACGCACCTCGCGTATGTTTACAATCTTAATCGTCGTACCGCGTGAGTAATAAGTTCGAAATAATTTTCTAATTATATGGGTGTTGCGATATTGGTCCTACGTAACCTAACGCACACGGATTTCCACGGTACGAGTGAGAATTGTACGTCTCCACTGATCCGTCGAATTTGTGGTGGAACTTATTGTTTACCTTATTTCACAGGCACGCACTTTGTAAATTGTGAAGCTAAATGTTAAACGGAGAATCTGGGAAAGAGAACCTTGGCTCTTGAACAGAAGCACTGTTCAACTGTTGGGATTGCAATATACACTCAATTGGGAATAAGATGCATTGAAAGAGGAGATACATGGTTCATATTTAGTTTTCTCAAGAGTGTTATCAATTTATATATTATTTATTTAATAATTAGTAAGATATATATATATATTTAATAACTTATTTTTTTCTGTTATCCATAAACAATAACGAATCATATTAATTCTACACTGGTAGAAAAGTATAAGGGAGAAAGAAATTTGAATATGCCAATTAATTTTATTTTGTACCTTTGAGTGTAGTGTAAATTAATTTAAATAATATTCATTATATTGATGTTTTACTCGTGTGTGCGCGGTAATAGTTATCTCATTGAAGGATACAGAGATTATCTTAGATTTAAGTAGTATACTTGGTAGCATTTTGTACATTCATTTTGACTATGTATCACACTATGTATCCACCACAAATAATGGTGCAGATAATGGGTGGCCAACAGGCAAATGGACAGTGTCCACCAGTTCAAACACATGCAATGCACATTCATGGTACAAATGCATTCCACCAGACTGAATATACAAAGTATCATCCAGATGCTTGTACGCAAAGTAGGCACCAACTAATACAGGTACAATTCTTATCTTCACAAACTAGGTAGATCTTAGTGGTGTTTAATTATTGGTCAAATATTTTCGAGTACAAGGAATATTCTTGCAGACAGGATCTTACCCGTTAGAATTGTTACAACTGATGGGTGTGGAAATACCATCTTTGCGGCGTGTAGAATATATGCAGTCAAATAGTGGCACACCCTTGGGAAATTGGCAGAGGCATGTGAACACATCAAATAATTCACCTATTATACCATCCCCACATATTGCGTTTAGACCAAACAACAATGGTTTAATAAAGAAGTCAAATTGGTATAGTAAACTTGGTAAAAGAACTTCGTATAGAGATTCCTTTGGGAACAATGAAAAGTACGGTAGTGATAGTGGTTTTAGTTCTCGTTCTCCAACTCCAAATAAACATCAGATTGATAGTAGTCAAACGGAAAGTTCGGATGAACGAGATTCTGTAGTTTCTTCTGTTGAACAAAGTATTAAGTACGTATTATACATTCGGAAAGTAAGATCAATAGTCCTGGATATGTGACTCTTAAATATTTTAAATTTCGGCGATTATTTTTTTTACAGGAAATCGAACAAACTTCATTCAAATAGTGTTGTAGATAATAATAGAGTAATGCAATGTGGTATAATTTCAAATACTCCTTCTCATCAATTCTATCAAAATCAAAGACACGTTAATTGTTATTCTACTGCAATGTCCACATCTAGGTCTCAAGTACAGAATTATCAGAATAATCAGAATAAAAGAAGATATCAGTCAGGTATATTTATATTCGTGACAATTGTGATACTTGTGTTTGTATTATTTATCTAGCGAACAACCAATATATTTTTAGGAAGAAATAGTCCACCACCTCAAAGACTGCAACGAAGCAAGAAATATGTAGGTCTATTGTCGCCAAATTATAGTACATTTCCTAGGTATGGAATTGCTCCGGATCGTTTCCTTGCTAGATCGCACTTAGTTGAAGTAACTCGCACGCCGGACGAACTACTCAATGGATCAATTTGGGATAATCTCTCGAAAGATATTTGGTCAAAGTTTATGTTGAATCAACAAACTGAAACTGTTTATAGAAACAAAATGATGCTGTGGAGATATCTCTATGTTTACATTAAAGTAATATAATTATTTACTATTGATATACTATTATATGTTGTGGGTAATACATCAAAATTGAAAATTTCGATGTTTAGACCGCATTTCCAAAGTATGGTTTATTTTTGGTTGGATCGACGATGAATGGGTTTGGGTCGGATAATAGTGACGTTGACATGTGCCTTTTGGTGCGGCATACAGAGATGGATCAAAGGAATGAAGCTATTGGACATTTAGAACAAATATTAAAATGTCTTAAGAGATGCGGTATGTCGATTTAAGTGACGAATTTCTATTCCAACAATGCACTGAGTATTAACGAAATAACGTTCCCACATTAACAGATTTCATAGAACAGCTGGAACTTATACAAGCAAAGGTACCGATCCTAAAGTTCCACGATTCGATAAAAAATTTAGAAGTGGATTTAAATTGCAACAATGCCGTCGGTATTCGGAACACTCATTTACTCTACTGTTACTCCAGAAGTAAGATTACCAGGCTTAACAGAAAAGATAATTAAATTTAATATAGTTCAACTAGATTAATCGTTAAATACATTTACAGTCGACTGGAGAGTGAGGCCATTGGTTCTTGTGGTCAAACTTTGGGCACAGTCTCAAAATATTAACGACGCCAAAAATATGACAATATCGAGTTATTCTTTGGTCCTTATGGTTATTCATTTCCTACAGTGTACGTGTACTCATCCATGTGCTTCGAACAATTAACAAAAGCGAGATATCTCGTGATCCGTCTCGACGTTCGGTTTTCTGTACGTTATTTATTCATTTTAGGTGGTGTTAATCCACCGGTGTTGCCTTGCTTACACTCTCTTTACGAGGGTAAATTCACACCACACACGGATATTCATTGCATAGATATCCAAGAAGAATTAGACATTCCAACTTCTGTTCATCGACCTAAGAATCGTCAGCCGTTAGGGGAACTACTGATTGAATTTTTTAAATATTACGTCATGTTTGAGTGAGTATAGAAATATCATATTGTGATTGGAACAATTAACAAAAGCGAGATATCTCGTGATCTGTTTTCAACAAAAAAAAGAAAAAAAAATATAATAAAACGTATTAAATCAATAAAATTTAACAGTTTCAATCAGTACGCGATATCCGTGCGGTTGGCTAATAAAATACCTATAGAAGAATGTCGAAGGGCGAGGTCCTACAAAAATGATCCTCATCAGTGGAAATATTTGTGTATCGAAGGTAAGTGTTCGAATTGAATACAAACAATTGACACATCATTCTCTCTAATAGTTACAAGACACTGTGTATACTTTCAGAACCATTTGACCTAACTAATACCGCGAGATCGGTTTACGACCCTGATGTGTTCGCGAGGATCAAACGTGTGTTCGATCGTACGTACCAGAACTTGAAAGAACGTCACGACCTAGCCAGGATATTCGTTAAGGTGGATTCCACTGCATCGTATATCGTTACGTAACCATCATTCGCAGGCTAGTATAGAAATGTTTATTAGCTAGGATAATTTCGTGCGGGAGAGCAATTTATTTTTGCAATGGGCCTCGATCAACGTAATCAGGAGGCGACTCAAATGATATCCTTGCCACCGATGTACGAGTGCAATGTGGTAGTCTTCTACGCTTACCTCGAGCGAACATGCTCGTATCTTGTGATAATAGCCAACGCTTGTATGCAATGGCTCACCTGTTACGTTTCTATCGTCCAATTTTTTCTCTTGTTTCGTTTCCGTTCAATATTACCCTTTTGAAACGATTTATATTAACCTGCGTTTATGTACGGAGCGAAAAAAGTAATATGTCGACTGAAACCTTTATACATTCGTAAAGATCTCAACTTTTTCTTTTAAACAATATGTGCAACAGTTCTCATGATTTCGGAAAAACCTTAAACCGGAGGTTCAATACGATTCTATTTTCGTGTCCTCCACGATAAAATTTGATTTTGTTTCAAACATAAGAACACAGTGCCTTACGATTGTCGAGATATTAAATTCAATTGTTAAATTGCACATAGCTTCACGATAACTATAATGAAAATATTTCAGTTTTTCTTGACAATTACTTATAGTAAAGATGAATATTGTTAGCCCAACACATCGAAGTAAAATTCTACATCTAAGTATTGAAGAACGATACGTCAATGGATGTTCGTTAAAACCAGAGATATATTCATATACACGAAAAGAAGTACTTACTCTGAATTGAATCTCGTAATAACATTGATTTTACTTTTAAAAATCGAAAAAGATATCTCATCGAGATAATGAAAAAAAAATTAAAAGGAGAAAAACAAAAAATCATTATTCGCAGGAAATAATAAGGGAAAATTAACAAAACAAAAAAAAAAGTTAAGTATAGATCGACAACATCGAAGTTCTCTTTAATCTACGTATCCTATTTAATTAAAAAAACGAGGAAAGATAAAAAAAAATTAAAAAAAAAAAATACAATATTATCTATATCTTATTGTAATAATTCTTTGATCATATACTATGTGCCAAAGAAGAAAATTAGTTTCGTCTTTCATAGATGAAAAGATTTCATGATTACCACAGCCTGCTCAATGCGTATTTTCTTTAAAAAAGAGGCACGCCATATCAAGTATGCATTTGGAAATTAAAAAAAAATAAAAAAAAAAGCAGACTGAACTCTGTACTCAGTTAAATAATCAAATTTTCAGTGATACATTCTCAACTTGCTGTTCAGTAACTGAAGTTCCTATTTTCAATACAAATTTAGAAATCCCCACTCTGATTCCGTTTCTAGTCTCTTGTTCACTTAAGCTACTTAAAGCATACCGTAACTCATTAAATGGTATTTAATGACGTGTAGAAAACAAAAGACTATGTTGACAGTATAAAAATTGTTAGGTGCGATATTCAGTTGTTGGGCCTGTATGAACAAACGTGAATGAACGTCTTGATTAATTAAACGTAACATTTATGCTCGTCGGTAAAGATTATTTTCATAGATTTGTTTGTGAAATTCGTTGATTTTCGACTAATACGGAATAATAAGTATTATCTGCCGACAGACCCAACCATATTTTTGTAACTAATAATTTACTTATTTTTGTAATAATTGAAAGGAAAAAAAACTGACAAAAAAAAAACGCCATCTTATTAACTTCCTCCTTCTCGTCAATTCTACGCACATGTAACGCTAAATTCTAAGATAATAGTATATCAGACTTTTGTAATTTTCGTTTTGCTGTTAAATAAAAATATTTATATACGTTTACGATTTGTGCGTCAACTTCCTACCATTTTAGCAAGTGAAATAATATTCTTCGGTCGGAGGACAGAACGAGTCCAGGTTCCTTCAAAATGAAATTTATTTGTTCCATAAGGTTTCACAATAAATTTCCATATATTCTGCAGTTAGCGGTGCGCTGTTGGTCGGAAAGAAGAAAAGAAAACAATTTTGCGTTGCACAATGCTGGTTCTTTTCTTTTTCTCTTCTGTTTTTTTTTCTCTTTTTTTTTTCAGTTGAAATTCATACTCTGTGGTCAATTCATTACCGCGAGAAGCCAACACAGACAGGAAAGTAGAAAATAAAGGGTAGCAGGGGTACTTATGTGTATACGGTACGAGGGTAAAAATGAACGAAACAAAAAAAAAAAAGAAAGCGTGTCTGAATTAAAAATTAGTTAGATAGAACGATACTTTGGTCAGTACATTAGAACGAGTAAAATACCTTGAACGCTAAATGGACTATTCACATCGTTTATGGACAATGCTCGTTGAAATTCAGATATAATGTCTCTGGAGATATTCAGAACTGCATCCACTGCATTTGATAGGTGTTCGTACGACTGCGTATCGTTTGTATCTCGTGGAGGAATCACATTCTCCTCCGCGCGTTTATTTAAACACGTGTGTTATGCGATTCTGCATCACGATATTCCGACTGGTATAGTCCCACCAAAGAGAAACACAAATATACCGAATGAAAAATAATTGTTTCTCCATTGTTACCGCGCTCTGTCGACCCCTGCAGTAAATAAAATATATACAAATATATGTGTACCGGTCTAACCAGAAAAATAGAAACTAATTAACATGATCGGAGTTAGGTCAATTCAAGGATTCCTTGGTTCGGTCAGGATGAATTGGGAAACATCATCACGCCCAAGCCTATGGAGAAGGATCCCTTTTCATTTTTCGTGAGGATGTTTCAAGTGTCGGCCCTCATACTGTTTGACGACAAACTTCTTTGGCGACTTTCGAATCGACGGATGGTATTCAGCCGGTGAAAGCAAAGTCCGTGTTTCAGTTCCTGTGTGTTCCTGGTCTTTGACCTGCCTCGTGTCCCACGCTTTTAATATTGTCGCTTCCTTCATGGTTCACGTATCTAGGTAGTGATAAAAAAATAGACGGTACGGGCCGCCAAGAACGATTCCAGGATCTCGTTGGAATCCTTATAGGCGTATTTCTCTCGTAATTTTCCCCCTTTTTCTGTCCTTGGTAATCCAATGTCTGATGTGGGGTCATGAATGTATTCGAACACTCGCAGCCTTCGCAAACTTCAATGAACAGAACGAACATACGTTGAGATCAGTCTGAAAATCTCTGAATATTTGTTTTTAGTCACGATAAGATTCAACTCGCAGAATTACACTCTGTCAAACTTTAAATGTATATATGATCACGGCTGCAGCAATTACGAAACATTTACCGTAAACATAAGTTGCCTAGAGGTCAAAAACACACATCACACACACACACATATACAAAACTCGCTGAATGTGGTAATCCAACGTGGAACATTGATGGTACCATAATTTACCTCTTAGATATCCTTGAACTGTTTCGCGCAACTCGTGTTTATAATACATGTTTCGTAAGTATTCAATGTTTTTGCTTCGAACACTGCATAATAGCTGTATCTCGATTTCGTATTTCTAACGACATTTGAATATTTCAATGCGATCTATATATGTATGTGTTGTGCAACGCAACTCTTTTACCTGTAAGCGTGCGAATACTTTCGTGACCTAACGTGCGCACCCAAAGGGAATTATTGAAGAAGACACGCAACGCATCTATCTCGATATGCCAATACTCTGTCTCCATTCTGTTCATTTCCGACTATGCCATTGTTCCGCGAGCCTTTCGTTTCGTAGACTATTAATATTCATAACCTTGTTTTTCCTTCCATCATTGTGCAGAGGAGGATTCCTGCTAGTTCGTTATCCGATCGAATCACGAAGAAGCTTCACACGTCCCGTATCTTCTTGTTCTTTTACCATTATTATTATCATCATCGCTTTATATATTTTTTTTTTGTTCGTTTTTCACATTTTGACCTTTTTTTTGTTGTTGTTGTTGTTATTGTTGTTGTTCTTGTTGTTGTTGCTGTTGTAATTCTAGCGTCACTCGATCCCCGCGATAAAACGGTCCGTTCACGATAAGCGCGTGTCACGCGTGAGTTGTTGGTTGTGTAATTGTGTGTCGTCTCCCAGTCCTATTCCCCTTTTCCGTTTGGCGTGTCGCCACACGGTCTATTCCATCCGACGATGTTACCGTTCGTTTCTTTCGTTCTCCCCGTCCTCAATGTTTCCGTTTCGTTACATCGACGGTGTTTCTTTCTTTCTTTCATTTTGGCGACGAACTCCCTCTGTTGTTGCTTGCTTGCTTTTTTTTTTTTTTTTTTTTTTTTTTTTTTTTTTTTTTTAAACATAACGCCGACGACTGCGTACATTATAACCGTACTCGATCGCCTCGAGCCGTTTTACCGTTTTGCGCAGTTAGTGATTTGTGGTTGTTGGTCCAAGAAGAATTTGTCGAACGAGCCTTCAGTCGCTCCCGCGACGCTGCATAGCAATTGCGTTGCTCAGCCGTACGGTCTCGGCTCAGTATGGCTGGGAGAACTGTCCCCCGGCTTGTGACTGTCCAGACTGATAGAAACCACTTCGATCACCTTGGTAGGTCGAGTCCTGCGACAACAGACCGTCCATCTGCGACTGGAATTCACCAACTGCGAACGAATCCTGCGACAGCTCCGCTTGGCTCAAGCCAGGCTGCGAGAGGCTGAAACCTGGCTGAGACATGCCCTGCGTGGTACCCTGAGTCAATGGCAGACCTGGCTGACTGTACGGTTGGGTGTTGTTCTGTTCCGTTTGACTCAGCTTGCCCATTCGCGGTCCCTGTTTGTTCTTGGACAAAGCAGTTCCCCGACGATTGCGTTGATTTTGTCTGGCTTGAAGCGCCTGTTGATGCTGATTGTAGAAGCGTGGAGGCACGTGAGCCATGTTCATGAACATCCCCACTGGGACCGGCACGTTGTTCATCGCTGCCTGCGCCCTCTCTGGACTGATGTAACTAATAGTGTCGTGGGTCCTACTGAATATATCCAACGGTACGTTCCTCTGGTAATAAGGATTATGATTTTGCGTTCCATTCACTTGGGTGCCGGACCTATCGTAGACCGATCCCGGAATCAGAGCCTCCCTTGCGTCGTACATAGACGTGGACATGAAGTGTGATCCTGGATTAGCGGCGTTAACGAGTTTCTTTGGTTTAGCGAACTGGATCATGGATTCCTTGAGATTGTTCAACGGTCCCTCGACGAGGACTTTCTGTTCTTTGTAAAAACTGAGCAAGTGATTCCACAGTGGTTGCTTCGACAAGACTTTCGGATTTCCTACAATTATAATTCCGTACTTGGCACGCGTCAACGCGACGTTCAAACGTCTCGGATCGTTCAAGAATCCAATGCCTTGGTGCTCGTTCGATCTAACGCAGGACATAATTATTATGTCCTTTTCGCGGCCCTGGAACGCGTCCACGCTGGCCACCTCTATCTCTTGATAAAGCTTCGAGTGCAACGATCCTTGGTATTGCATGTACTGTACCAGATAAGCTCTCTGCCCTTCGTACGGAGTTATTACACCGATCTGTTCGGGTTTAACGCCACAGCGTAAGAAACGCGTGGCTATTTTCTCAACGTTCGACGCTTCGGTTCGATTCAGATAAGACGTACCGCTGCCAGCAATTTCTTCTTGTCCTTGGGTAACATAAAAGAACATTGGTTTGTCGGGTGCAGGCCAAGGGAAGTCGATCTTCAGCAACTTCCTTTCGTCAGCACATACACCATTTTGCAGAGAACCCTCGTAGAAGAAGTTCGATGGAAAACGCGACAAATCCGGGTGCATACGATACTGCACCTCTAAACGGAAAGGTCTGATTCCGAGGACGACTAATCTCTCAAACAGAGACTGCGACAAACCTGCTCTGGCGGCCTTTTTGCACATAACTACAGGTCCTAATTGGCAATGATCGCCGACAAGAATCAGCTGCTTTGCACCAAGAACGACTGGTACCATACATTCAGGTTCTGTTGCCTGCATACTCTCGTCGATAAGGATCGAATGGAACTTCAGCCTATGCAACCTTGGGTCACCTGCTCCAACGCAAGTACAGCAAATCACGTCAGCTGCTTCCAATAGTTCCTTTTCGGCTGCTTTCTTCAATAGTCTGTAGCGTTTTTCATCCACGCTGGACAGTTCTCCGGTTTCGTCCTTCAGTTGCTGTAACTTCTGCAACTCGGTGTTCGTTTCCATATTCTTGATCTGATTGTGAAGCGCGAGAAAGCTTACTGGCGAGTCGATTGCTTCTCTTGATTTTGCGCAAAGCCGTACCACTTTCAAGTTCGATTTGTGTATCTTCTCTGTAAGTTGGTCCACGGCTGTATTGGAAGGCGCGCATACTAGTACAGGTCCGCCATTTTGTTTAACTAATTGGTAGACTATCGTTGCGCTGGTTACGGTTTTTCCTGTACCAGGTGGTCCTTGGATCAAAGACAATGGCCTCTGGACAGCGTGTTTAACAGCGTATACTTGAGATCGATTCAAGTCCGGTAAATTAGGTGCGCTAAAGTGCTTCGGTAAGTGACAACGGAACAGGACCTCCTCTACTTCGTGCCCCAATAATCTGTGGTATATGTAAGCGGACACGGACGAGTCATCCACAGCAAACTTCCGTAATGCTAATTGCATGCTATAATAAAAAAAGATTATACATCATATAATCCAAATTAGGAGCTAAGATCTTCGAGTGTTACTTACCGATCGAAACTAGTACTTTTCCAGATAAAGTCGACAACAAAGTTGCTGATACATTCCGTTGGAGCGCCGGAATTATTCTTCAACTCTATGCCAACTTCTTCGCCGTAGTTGTCCGGTATTTTGATCACATGCCCAATGCCTGACCAAGGTTTATGAAGCTCACCCAAGTAGCGAAGTCTTAACTCATCACCGTGCATCAACTTCATATCGCCGTCAGTTTTAGCCAGCATAAAGTACGCTATTGTTTTCTTATTTAAACCAACGTCCCATCGAACTTCGATGTTCTCTTGAGTTTGGGACTCCTTCAAACGTTTATCGTAATCCGCTTCGAGCTTTACCAGAGGTCCAAATATATTCTGATATTGGTATCCATCTTCGTACCGCAACAGCACCTGTTGCGGTTCTTCGTCCACTCCGGGTTTTTCTAAATCTTGAAAGGTTGCGTCAACGTTATCACGCCACAATTCTTCCAATTTATTAATTTGTTGGGCAGAAATTTGTCGAGCTCGTAACTGTTCCTGTTCCGATGGAATTTTCACCAGCCACGCAAGAAAGCTGCGGTCCTCTATTAAAGGCTTCCATTGTTCTTGGTCCCTGAAGCAATTAATGGAAATTAGAAATTATAACGATACGTTGAATTTAATTTTTCTTACAAAGACCACAATTACCAATTCATGTCCTTCAGGGAACTTTGAGCTGCACATGGTTGCCGGCATAGTAACACAACAACAGAGTCTGCCTTTGCAGGTATGAAGCCAAGAACAAAGACATTTCTGACAGCACAAGAGTAACATTCCAGAATTGTTTCTCCCAGGGGTCCATCCCTGAATGTAAGTAAAACATGTGATAAAGTAATAAAAATGATTATTTAAAGCGGTGAGGCAAATAGGATACAATACCTGTGGAGAGTAACTTCCTTATGTTTAGCTCTGACAAGATGATTGATGATATGTGATCCAGATGTATTTCCACGACCATTACAAAACCATTTTCTGCAGACATTACACATAACAACACACGATGCTTCGTGAATTCCACAATATTTACATGCATGCTCTGGTAAATCACGGTTATAGTATGCTTCCTCTTCCTCCTCTTCAAACTGTAGTTCAGCAAGACTCTGTGCAGCTCCAGAAATCTTCAACTCCAAGGAAGAGCCACCGCTTGTTCCATTAACCTAAACAAGAATTAAAGATTATGTTTTACGGTTGGCTTCTCTTTTAAATATATTATATCTCAATAAAGTTTGTGCCAAGATACTTAATTATAATCTTTTCTTTTGCATTTGCCTTACTAAGTATCTCTATTTCCTACGTCAAAGTTAGCACAGCAACGTATTGTTTGGTTGTTATCAGATCAACCAGTGCAATTGCATGCAAAATCATCGTCATACGCAAAGAAAATAAATTTGCATCAATGCATACTATTAATCTTGCACAACAATGCGAAACAATGTTCTCCGCGAAAGTGCCACATAACCTCTCGTGGCACCGAAAGTCATTCTTGAAAACTCGACTCCAAAATGGAACCACGTTCTCGAGGCATCGTACTATAATTAAAGGCACGCTGACAAAGATGTTAATTCCAGTTGTACAATACCAAATCGAAAGAAAAGAAACGAAACAGAATGTCGAGAAAGAAACGCAAGGCGAGAACGTGCAGACATAATGCGTGTACGTTTCGAATTTAAAGAATCAGTTAAACGAACAAGGTTAGGTGGTTAGGTTCGCGTGACCATCAAGGAACGAAGAAATCTCCACGAGATTGCTGTACACAAGTCGGTTAGACGTTTAATTAGAGAAACATATGACGAGTCGGAAAACCAACCTGCACGGGCTGGCTTGGCTGACTTTGAACAACATCGTGCTGCGAAGCCTGAGTTTGACTCGGTGATGGTAATGTGAAATCGGTGAAGTCAAATTCGCTGCCCTGAGTGTCCGCACCGATCAGATCCGCTTCCTCCGGGTCAAGGAACGTAAGGGTCTGACTGCTAGGCCCGTACGCGTCGACGCTCATCCTGCCACGATATTCGACGTCCTTTTGGAGCCTTGTGATAAATAGGCTTGCTCACGGCTGGCGAACCAGAGAACACCGTCCGCGCGCGACAACGCTGCGCCTCCGGGAAACCCTCGAGAGAAACGATCGTCGAACACAAAGCGAACCAGCAGCGTGTACAACTGAGAACTACGAACACTTTCGAGCAGGAAAGTGGACCAAAGAATCCTACGCCATACTTTGTCTCGCGCAAGTCTCGCGCCCACCAACACCGACACCAGACGCACACAACCAACTTTTCTTCTTTGCGCTCGTCGCGTGTTACGTCATCAGCTGATCTCTCCGACTGCGAGGACCGAAAGAGAACGTTGGGAATTCCGACGGCGATATCCCCGTTTCGAGTCACGTCGATCCGTTAGTTTTCTCGCGATTCGATTCTTCCTGCCGATTCCTCTCGAAATCTTTATCAATCTGACTACTCCTACGATAACAGACAGATTGCGTCGTCTTTTCATAGATGGCGACACTAAGCTACTTGAATGACCGTTGAACATGTTGGCGGGAAAACGGTTGCGTTACAGTTGTTTATTCTTCTTTCTTGTTCTTTTTAATTGTCATGTCGTCGCAATGAATCCTTTTCTAAATAATGAAATAGAAGAAATAAATTAAAAATAGTCTATGGAAGATCTAAGAGTTTCAACGGTTAAGTTTCCTGGACAATGGACGTATGTTCCTTCGCAGAATCGTTCTTGATGACACATCTCTTTTGATAGGAAAAATTGTTCATTGTGTTTATCTTCGTGTATCCTCTCACGGATTTAACAGCGATACGTACTATTTTACAAGTAAACGACACTCTTTGTGTCTTGTAACGGTCTTCAGACTGATGGGATATCTTAATAAAGTTTTATTAAAAACTGTACCAGGAAACTGATAGATGTCACTTTGCAAGGACAAATTAAAAATGGACCAATCAGATACTTTTGTTTTAATCTATATTCGGTTTTCCCGTCTTATACTTGTATATTTTGTGGCCTGGATTTACTCGCCATCGAAATTCGAAAAATCGTTGAATATGCTCACTGGAATTGTTCGTAAGAATGGATGTTCTGCGTATGTATGTTTTTCAATAATTGTAATATCATGACTCAGCTAATACTTTTAGAGCCACTTTCATCGATACGTTTATTGTCGAATTTTCCTATTTACGTAGATACACGAACGTAACAGTAATCGGAATACTATAGCTATAATATAAAATAATAAATACAAAGTTTAATATATATATATACAAAACACTTGTCGCTTTCATAATTCTATCGGTCTGTCGGTGTAGCAGTAGACATTTGTTACACATTCTCCTCTTGATAACTTATTTTTATAATACTTATATCGGATTTATTATATATCTCACAATATAATACCAATTTCGTACAATACTACATTGTAGATTTTGCTACCGAAAGTTCCAAAACTCCTTTTACTTCGCTCAGTCGAAAGCTATTTGCAGGAGACTGTATACAGTGTAAACTGTTCTCTGTTCAATGTCTTCTAAATACAATCGTTCGATGCGTGTAATTAATATCCAGTACATAAAACCGCAGAGTAATGCGTCTGTACATAGAAAAATATTTGTGAGATCAGTCTTATGACAGTACAGTGATTACAACTATCATCAATTTGTATTATTAAGTTTCCATGATTCGAATAGATTGGGCCCAGTTCCATCACTTCTTTTATTCGAAAGATTGCAATCCAATTTTGAAATTGGTCGTTTGTCAGCCATCTTGAAATTGAATACGTAACGGTCCCCTCCTGCATTACCATAGTGACCGTTCGTTTTTCGAATTCGTCACCTAGATGGCGACGATGAATCATTGGCATTATCGTAATTACAATTTAATCGTAAACTATAAATATTATCTATTGATCGAGTAAAGAATCATACGTTCGAGTGGGAAACGGTTGTAAAATACTGTCTATCTGTTTAATCGGGTTTACCACGACGAATCTCGATAGGAAGAAAAAAAATGTTTACGGTAAACGATACTTTCACTTTCAGGATCCCAACAGTTGGTTCCACAGCGAACGAAAAGTATTACATTACTATTCTCCTAAGGCTTCCGAAAGCTTCTGCCCTTGGCGGACATTCCTTCGGTCATATGCACAAGCAGCATACATACAACTCGTCGGTTGCCGCCAGGTGTCCTCTGCGCAATACTATTTCGAGAGTCTCCCAGCGAAGGATCTTTCTCTTTTCTCTCATCACATTACAAAAATGGCACGTGGATGCTTTTTTTTATACCAAGAATTCAACCTCCTCCTGCCTATATAGTCTATACAAACAAATTGCCAGTCGATTCTTCCAGAACATTCCGAAGTCGTGCGATCGTTCACGATCACAAAGTCCGAACACAATCGTTCTACGATCCGCTGCTAGGCCTCGGCAGCTGTATCAATAACTACCCAACAAGGTTACGTTCACAGTCAATATTGAGGATTGGGCGAATTCCTTTGGAAGTTCTGCTGGCTCTGCTGCAGGGGTCCGGCTGGACTGGGTCTGCCTTGGTCACGATACTGCGGGGGACCTGGTGGAGGGCCAGGTACCTTTCCGTAGTTCCCTCTGGTGGAGCCCTGATAGCTACCGTACGCGGAATCATCGCTACGCCTAGAAATGTGACCGTACATGCTTTCCGGTCTCCTTGTAGTGGTCGTATTTTCAGAGTTGGTGGTCATCTGTGGTTGTTGCTGCGGCGGCTGTTGTTGTTGTTGTTGCGGTTGCTGCTGTTGCTGATGATGAGTCTGTCCCGTGGTTTGGACGGTTGGTCCCGAGGGGGAGCTTTGATTACCACTCGGAGGAGGAGCTGGAGCACGCCCGTATATACTGGAGCCCGTGGACACGCCATAAATCCCGTTCTCCCGGGTGCTTAGACTAGTGGAGATCCCACGGATCCCATAGATACTCTGGGTGCACTGTTGCAGTTGATTTTGCATGTTCTGGTTCGTACTATTGTGATTCTGCGTGTTCGGGCTGGGCCCGCTCGGTCCGCTCGACGGTTGACCCTCCCGCGTGGTCTGCGTACCCGTTTGACCTATTCGAATCGGGTAGAGGCTCTGGGCGGGAACGAGGGGGCCTGGTTTCGGGATCATCAGGCCGTCTTTCGTCCCGGTGGTAGACTTCGCGTACACGCTTTGCGAGCGATTCAGGTTCGCCCTGGTCAACGGCGGCGATTTGCAATACAACGACTTGGTCCCGCCGTAGATCGACTCGACGCGTTCCAGAGCGGTTGGCGGAGCGCTGTAAATCGAGGAGGACGCTCCTGCTGCGACTGGACGATACGTCGCGTACGCGCTCGGGAACTTCGGCCCGGTCGGTTTGTCCAGATCGTCGTACGTGTCCTCGTCGGATCTCAACGACGAATTGTCACCGTCGTCGATTTCACGCGGGTCCCTGGAACGTTTCGGGTTCAACACGTACTCGTGGAGCAGAGCAGCGACCGCGCTGCCGGACAATGGACCGACCCAGTACACCCAATGGTTGTCCCATCGGTTGCTGACGAACGCTGGCCCAAGAGCTCGAGCCGGATTTAGGAATGGACTCTGAAACAGAGGAACGATACGAATGAGATGCGTCTTGTAAACGGTTTGCAACGGTCTTGCGCTTTACACGTATACAAATCAGGGGACGAATCGTAGCGATGATCACGGTAATTTTTTTTGCAGTGACCCCCCGATAGAGGAAGAACTGGATATTTTCGATCCCGTGGTGGACACACGATTGAGTCGGAAGTCGACATCGGATACCACTCTCCTCTAACAAACGCGACAATCCAGTTCGGGTAGAAGCGATTCGCAGTTTAACGTGCATACACGGTAGTAGTCTCGCGCTTCTTTTTTCGGTTGCATTGTACACGCTTTCCGGAGCAGGTGGGATCGGGATCGAGTTCTCTCTTTTTTTTTTTACCCCCGTCTTTCTCTGGCCCCCCTACCCCTGCCACCTCTCTCATCTGGCTTGTTCTTAAGACGCAGGTGCTCTTTAAAGACGCGGACGTGGGTCCGATTCGAAAGAGATCGAGAGACGGTTTCGGATAGACCGGTTATCCCGAGAGGGAACCGGGGAAAAGCTAAGTACTATGCAAGAACTCCAGCAGAGGTGGTCTTCGATCCGCTCGAAACGAATTTCACTCGTGAAACGACCCCCTGGCCACGATCTAAGGTTGTCACGAGTGTGGACAAGGAAGAGGTATCCTCGTTGGAGCTTTTTCACACGGATACCCTTAACACTACGTTTAAGGAAATTTCTTATACTCCTATCTCTGCGGACACGCGTTAACGAAACCGCACATTTTCTTTAAAAAATAACGTATTCTTTTGATACTCAATTTACGATAGTATCAAATCGTCGCATATCCGTAGAGATAGGTAGGGGAGACCGGGGTAAGTTGTAACATGGTTAAAATTTTCTGAATCACTTTGGCAACGCAGCTTTTGAGAAAAAATTGTGAAAACTTTTTTTTGTTACAATCTGCCCCTTGGCGTTATTCAGTGATTTTTTTAGTTTTACTCACCGAAACTAAAGTGGCCGCTGTGTACGCTGCGGCCAACACGCCTGCTGGTTTCGAGGAGACCGACATCGGCAGCGACTTGGAGGATTCCGCGGTGAAATGAGCCAAAACGATCAGTACCGATAGAGCCAGTTCCACTAGGAGTCTTTCGATCGCCCCGCCAAGACGGCCGGGAGACGTTAATGTTTGTGTATTGGACGGCGTAGTCACTCTGGAACAAAAACAGTAATAATATAATTAGACTGTATTTATACTATATTTTGGAAAGACAGGAGCAACCGTAGAAATTGATTTTCCCTCTTAAGTATGTTATTGTATTTCACAGAGCTCTATAGGCTATAAAATCCGCAGTCTAGTAATAATCGTCAGTTTAACTTGTCGTTCACAATTTTCAGATTAATCCTCGACGAAGTAGAAAGAAATCTCGAACGGAAACGAATACAGAAAACTTTCGTAATAACACGCAAGAAGGATTATTGATTATACTCTTTGGAAACACGATCGAACAGCCCCACGCATATGGCGTCGTTTTGCGACAACCACGGTTGCAGCGGTGGTTATGATATACGATGATTTTCCCATTGAATGCAACTCCGATACCAGGCGTGTAAAGACCCCTGCGGCGATACTGGTCCCTCTGGTGTAATGTTTATATTAGCCGGTGCATCCTCGTGGCGTGGCCCCTGACTCCCGATCGGTCTACCCCCTGCTATCTGTTTCTTTTGCATAAAGCCCCGTTAATTTTCTCAGTTCGTACAATCATACGGGGTCACAGGTTGACCGTTGGTGTTGGCCGACCACCAATGGCCATGAATCATGTACACCGCTGTGTCTAGTTCAATGGATTGTCGGTTCCACGGTACAGTAATGTCTCGACGAGTGTGACGTATATACTCGGGTCCACTTCGGAGGATTCATGGCAAGGCGGAAAAAGGTTTTTATCTCCCTCATAAATTTATTTTTTACCCGAAACCGAGCCTCTGCTTAATTTACTCTGTTTGTATTGATTCCAGAGGGAGGACCCCACAGTGCTGGAAATAGTGCCATTGCTAGTGTCGCATTCAACGAGGAATCACTGTAATTAGAGAATTTCGCTGGCGCCGTTCAGTGATTTTAGATACAAAAATATCATTCATCGGGTAGTTCGATGAACCCAGAGATCCCCTCTGAACCATTAACAATGCTGCACCTGTATGAAAACGTCACCCTAAATGGCGGATCACGAACGGATCATGAAAATTCTCCCTCTGGTGTCGATGCAAATGAAAGCCAGTTTCGTCACTCCTCCCCTTGTGTATCGCCGCGATCAAGAGACCACATCACTCGATCGCGTCACGCGAGAGCGAATTGATGAAATCAGAAATGCAGATCATGACTGACACAATTGGGATTAACTGCGTCGTGGAGAACGGTGACCGAAGGGGCGGACACGAAACGAGAAGAAAGGAGCCTCCTTTCACGAGGCTCGCGCAATGATAAGCGGATTTTTTTTTAGTAATTTTTCCCTATTCATCGTCATTACCGCGTGACAACGAGGGCGTAACTCTGCGAGCTACGTGGCCCCATTCTCTGGACGGAGATTCCGTCTGCTTTTTTTTCCGTCGATCGACACTTGGACTCCTCGATGCCAGCTATACGTATATGCACCATCATCTATCATTGTCACAATTTCGAAAGATCATGGATCTCGGTAACACGGGTCCACGACCACGATGCCTTTCATTTTTGGTTAACCCTTTAACGGCCAGTGTTGCATTGCTGCAAAGTCATTTTTAAAAGTCGTCAAACTCTCTCGTTGGTTAATATCTCACATTTCTCAACACGAATACGTAGTTTCACCGATGTGAAGTAGATATCTCTACGTTTTGAGTTCAGAAGTTCAAGTAACTTCCTCCAAAAACTAACAAGAACAAATTTTAAAAAATTATGAAAAGATTAAATCTGTTTAATATTAATATTTTCGATTTCAAAATAACAAGACACCACATATTGTACATCAGTCTCAAAACGTTCAAATAACGATCTGAAGCCCTGGCTGTTAAAGGGTTAAACTTTTACGGAAGTCGCTCTCATTCAATCCCCCGTCAAGATATCTCTGTCGTAGTGAGAAAAATGGAACGCTTTCTTTCATCTGCTTTTTACACGGCGAACGAGCTAGACACCATTTTTCCGGGAACAAACGCGAATAAACGAGGCGACACGAGTGTGCACAATGGCTCGAGAGATGTGTAGATCGCGCCCCTCCAACCTCGCGAACCGTTCACGGCGCTCCGATAAACGTCGAGACATTACACGTACACTCGTTGTAATTGTTCGAAATTGTAATATCAAATTCACTGGCAGAATCCATCGGATTAGGGTGTCGTTGGGAACAAGTGTTCTCGCCGCGGAATAGACGTCGTTCGACCCCTAACGCAAAAGCTTCCCACGATCGATCGTTTAGCCACGCGTTGGTCCACCGTGAAACCCGAAGTTTTGGCGGGTTTAATCGCGGCATCTGAACTTTCCCACAGGGCAAGAGAGACTTTATAATGGGGAATCGTTTCGTGGATCTATCGTCTAATCGCCGTGGCCTGCCGATGGACGCGGGAGGGGATCGAGAACGAAAGAGGGAGGCTGCCCGTTTCTTCGCACCCCACAGGGGTGTTGGTTCGGTGGGTGGACGATATCAATAGCTCGTTAAACACGACAGTGGTCCCCGAGTGAAAGTGATACCACATCGTACACCACCGAACCCTCCAATTGAAATTTATTTAA